CGTGGACTCACCCATGAAGGATCGGGGACATTTGGGCAAGGCGAGGGGTGGAGATTCAGCTTATTGCGACGATTATTTCTTGTGAGACTGGTGGGATCTTCGTTCCGTGACGGCAGGATGTCTATACAAAAATAAAGAAAAACAAGTAATAGAAAATTTTGAAGGAACAAAAAAGATTAATTAAACGGTTAACAAACTAGATTATTTCTATCATTACTATTTAATACATGTCATCGCAGACGAGATATACTTCCAAAAGCTTGTGGAAATATTAACGAATATTGCTATTAATTATAACCAATAGAAATCGAGATATAGACTAACTTGTAAGATGTACATATATCTTCTAACGAAATTTTGCGTTTCTAAAGGTTTACATTGTCGTTGTATATTAAAAATGCTCGTTCGAAATAAAGATTACATACACACCGATGATCCCCATTTGCCTTCCATTAATGTTCGATCTTTTCTACATGTATATAAATACTAAATGGTAAAGGTGGTTTAAAACACCTGTGATGCCATCTACAGCAAAGCGCGCAAGCTACGTATATACTACTATTACAACGTCTGTGCTGTTTTCTCATATATGTATACTACATATTACGTTAAATCTAATTCATAATTTTATTATTGGTGATTACACAACGTTCTTGAAAATTCAAAAATTATTTACTCGCTTCGAAAATTTGTGAAAACCTCGACAAATTAGATTCTTAATTTGCAACCTTGGTACACTGTCGAGTACACAATTTCTCTGTCTTTCAAATTCATGAAAAATACAAACAATTATGCACCGCTGTCGTTGACAGCCGAGTGTTTCGATTTGTCATCTCGAGATACAGAAATATTCGTTGGCATGATACCTACGCTTCCGTGTGAACGAAATGTTTTGGACAAATGATGCAGGTTGTACGATATTTTTTAATATGCAATACCGACATTTTTAAACAATCCCCGATATCATAACATTTTCATTCGAGTTGCTTATTTTCGTACCGTGTAATTAAAATAATACTTTCATTAGAACGTCGTTCTCTCTAATTATCCTTCTCGCTACAGCTTACGTGTCCCTGCCAGATAATATTTGCATACGCACGCGTCTCTGCTTGCATTCATATTCATAGAAACTCGAGTACTATTCAGTTGTTCGTTAAATATCATTAATTAAGAAAATTTGTAAATTTACACTTCGATAAAATGTTGTCTCCTAAGAAATTCCATACCTAGGTCTCCGGTGTATTAACAGTAAGCCACGTTCCCACTTATAAGGTGTAACATTGAATTCACTTAAGTTTACTCGAGCAAGTATCGAGTCGTTTAAACAAACTATATATCTATATTAAAACTTATAATCTCAGCTTCTGGTCCACTGCAATTTCCCACGCTACGACCTATTTACGTGACAACGTGGCTTTGTTTAAAAGAGGGCTCGAACTTGAGGAAAGATAAAAACACGTAGAATCTAGACGTGCCAATCTTGGCAAAATGAAAATCCAGGAATTCGGTGTGCGACAAACGAGCATGAGCATCCAAATTTTGTAATATAAATTTAGTCTTCCTAAATTTGTGAAACCTTGATGCTCTTGAAATACACGGTTTCTGGACAGGATAAAAATTATGCTCCGCGTGCTTTCGAGTATTTGTTTACAAAGCCACAGTAAACGAGGTTCTGAGTGCTTGTTTTCGTAGTATGCAAAACAAAATAAACAGATCAAAAACTATGCAATGTTTCTGATAAACACCGGGACATAGTCACAGAATTTCCCTTCGTGACAATTGTATTTGTGCAAAAAGAAACTGTACCGGCAAAAGAAATCCACGAACGGATGGCTAAAATAGCAAAATGATTTTTTTAGGCTTTACTAAGCAGGATGATCGATCAGCACGTATCAAGGAATAAATCGGGATGGAAAAACCGTTGCTGATCATCCTTGATTGGTGTTCTAGGTCATCAGATGATTTTATTGCGTGTACCAATTGCCTCGGGATATATCTGCAACGAAATCGTAAGCGTTAAATCTTGAGAAACGGAAGAAAATCAAAGAAATACTTTATACTACTTTCCTGTGATCATGGATTTTATGAGAGTCATCCTGAGGAACTTTATCGAGTTTTACTTAACTACAGTCTGCAATAAAAAGCGAGGAAATATCAAAATAGAGAATGTTGTAATCAATCGAATATTATTTTTTTTAAATTAAAGAATGTGGAACTTGCGAAAGGAGAGTGACGTAAACGAGATTGGTCAAGGTGCGTTCTCAGAAAACAGTGCACTTCGATTCAGCGACAATGACAGAAATCACGTCATTATTATTCAGACAGCATTTTTTTTCGATCCGTATCCCAGATCTCACACGTAACATCGACGTCTTTGTGTTTCCTATTTAATAACATTATACAATTATGTACGTACGAATGTATAAAATTCTGTTTTTGTTTTTTCATTTCTTTTCTTTACGACTAATACGGGAATGTACGATCCGTTGCTCGCCGCGAGTGTCATCGCGACACCGTTTTTCTTTTTCTTCAATCTTCATCCTTTTCCTCTCCTGCATTTCTCTTAGTTTTAGATCATCGAAATATCGTTACAACGATCCCCTTGTATATATAAATACGACAGTGCAAAAATTGTCAAGGACGAATTCGCCGAAGTTACGCAGATAGGAATGAACAGTACACGAACAATACCCTTTCTCTTCGACACCTTTTCACAATCGACATAGAAACACCGCCGTTAACTTCGTTGAATTCGTCTTCGAAAAGCCGGAAGTAACGTCGCGGCGTTACTCGCGGGAATGTTTTACGCTAGATTTCGAATTAACAAAACAAGAAAAAAAAACAAACGACAAAAAAAACTAACTTACGCACAAGTGACTTTAACAAATTATCGGATGTCGGTTAACTTCCGCAATCTTCTGATTTTCATTCCCCGATGATCCTCGATTTCAAACAATCCTGACATCCGTATTAAGTACGTTATGGCACACCGACACGACTGTCGTTGTTCCCCGAATCGCTTTCAAATCAGATTATGTGACCAGACTTTTCCCAGGATTCGACGTGCGTGCCCCCCTGAATAAGTAAAATTTTTCGAAGTAAAAAGTTTCGACGTTTGAAAACAAAATTAATTATACATTGTAAACGATTAATACCATATTGGGTTAAGTCGTACAGTATATTTCGTGTCCAACGTAACAGTATCAAGAATCAAATCACGCTGTGGTAAATTTTAAAGGGACAAAATTCCGAATGTTACAAGTTAACCCAATATTTCAAACATTTTTGTTCGACCAGAAATGTTTGGTTATACGGTGCACAAATCTAGTCACATCAGAATCGGACCACATTCCGCGTTAATAGACGAAGAGATCTTACACGGTTAAAAAGAAAATGAATCAACGGTACGCTGTGATTGAGAAACAATGGCCTCTTTCAACAAAAATCACTTCTGTCGCGTCAAGCGTCACGGACAAAAGCCTTTTGTTGCTCTTCAATTACTATTTTACATACATTATTAAAGCAAGTTAACTACATCACAGTTCTGATGGCTCAGTCGTTTGATGTATCGATGCATCGTATCAAACCTAGACCTAATTGACATTATCTCAAATATATTAGACCTTGGAATAGTATTACGTCCTTCCATCATTGACCCTGAATTAACAAAATTAAGTAAATGATAGTCTGTGATGTATGTTTTCAGTTACACAGTGTCGCCATCTTGAATTTAAAAAACCGATTACCCAGCTCTGCGCACTCTCGCATCATCGAATTTGACCCATAGGACACTAACGATGACCATCAGAACCATTCTCCTCGGGAACGCATAAAAATTACATCGTTACAATTTACAGCTTTAAATTACGGCTCTTTATCGGACACGTTGCAATTAGAGAGTAACGTAGAAGGTACGAGAGAAACATGGCGAAAATTTTCGACGATCAGTTAAATATCCTGACAACTGTAGCGTCCCACAGTCGATCCATAAATAAAAGTGAATTAATAGTTTCATAAATATCATTCGTATAAATACTGACGGAAAACGACACAAACAATACGTTACTCCCGATTGATAACTTGAATCTTCGTCTATTGTCGCCTCTTTCGTCGAGAAACATGCATATATCCCGTCGTAGAACAAAGTAAAGAAAAAGAAGCGATTCCTTTGAAACGTCACGACGACCATTGAATAATCTCGAGAGTATCGTTAGTCGATCTTCGTTATGAACTTCTCGTAGCTTACAATCTTATAATATTATGTACACGTTCGCTTTATGAAACCTGAAAAAATGTCTAAGTATTGTTCTTAGCGTTTACCGACTCCCGATGACTCGTGCATCGAGTCCGAGAATCCTCATGGTATACCTTAAGAATTAGAACCGTATCGATATCCTTAAAATCTTCCTTCGCGATATACGCTCAGTCTCCGTAGCGCGTCTTTTGAAAAAAGTCTTGATTACATGTAACGCTTTCTTCGTTCATTTCTATCCCCATCACCCCTCAAACCCCTTTTTTTTCGTTTTTTTTTTTTATCATTTAGACGGAATGGATATATTATGGATTGTGTATCACCAACGAGCTTGTACAGCCGTATCAATACAAGCTGAGTATTTTCGATTACTTGTTCGAGGAAAAGATTCACATCGACGAGGTTTCTGTAAATATTGCCAAAAGAAGAAAAAAAACAGTACAAAATTTAAAAAATTTTGTCGAAATTAAGAGATAATCGTATGATCTGCAAGATGAAACTATTCGAGTCAAACACTTCAAGCACTCTTTTGATATCGTTGCTATATAAAATACGTTTAGATGAGAGAAACTTCTTACGTAATGTTTCATACCTTTGTTTTTTTTGTTTCGTGGTAGTGTCTCTAACGCGTCTTTGTTTTCCTTAAGAATACGAGTATCCTTTTACAAGATTGCCATGTCTCTTTCTCTCTCTCTTTCTCTCTCTCTCTCTCTCTCTCTCTCTCTCTCTCTCTCTCTCTCTAAAAATATGTAAGAACAAAAAACGAACGAAAGAAGATCAGATAAAAAAGCAACATCGAGCCCACTACGATTATTCGCTATTATCAAATATCGAATCTTACGTCTAAATATATGTTAATAAATACATCGCTCTGAATACATCCAACATGATACATGCATACTGTTTATGACACATGGATTGACTTCATATTATTCGCGTTATTATCGGGCCTGTAAACAGCCGTAATTTAGGACCTTCGATCTATCATCCCTCCAGTCACACTTCCAGATGGACACGAGCATGTCAGCTTAAATTAATTTGTTCGGTCATCATTTTTTCCTGTTTGTGTCATGCGAATTAACCTATATAGTCGTAGCCAAAACGTACTACGATAGAATGAGTATAAACTATAGCGTGACCGATCGTTATTTCGCGATCGCAAGGACTGAAACTGTTAGTCGAGTTAATCTGAAGCAACGCAACTGAAGAATGCTTCCCGTTGCTCATACGAAACTCTCCTGTAAGACTCGAAGCTACATGTAGGTCTTTCACTACACCATTACAATGGCTTCTTCACCACAAAACAGGAAAGGATATTGATCGATCATCGTTTGAACGACGTCCTCCAAATATGGCCTCATCGCCTCGAATCTGCCGAGATCGTTAAATTCTATAGGTAATAACGTAGGCCACCAGCAAATTGCCAAATTTTTACTGTCCATACTGTTCAACTTGCAATTTTCGGCCACTCTGGAGAAATATAAGAAAATAATTATATTGTAATATGATACTAAGTTGAATAGAACTCTAGGCGTTGATTTGAACGAATTTTAAGACTTACTTTACAAAATGATGGAAGATGAATTTTAGTACATCAAAGTTTACTGGGTTCAGCTTGTTGAGCATTAAGCGTAATGCCAATAACCTGCAACTTCGATCTGTAATAGATTCATAAGATTTTGTATTAGGGCATAATCCAATTAATTCCTTTTAGTAAATTTAAACAGCATCACTTACCTTCCATATTCATACATGTGGCGGACATAGGTTTACTTATTCCGCGAGCTCCTAAGCCCAAGAAAAAAAGATAAATTAAGGATCCATTTTTTAACATAGATACTACACAAATATTAACAAGTTACCCGATATATCCTCGAGTTCGCTCATACGTTCTTTATCAATTAAAGGTGGCAGCCGTTTTGAAAAGAAGTCCTTTAAAGCTGTTGCGACCGCGTTTACTGGTATATCCAATGAATGTATATCCACATTTTCATCTATTACAATTAAATGCGAGAAAAACAATTCACTAAATGTATGAATAGATTATTGTTTAAAAGATAGTTGTAAAGAAGTTTACCTTCCTCGAACTTCTGAAAGAGAAGTTCAACGTGAGCTCTGTTTCCAGGAACTCTGTAGATTCCTTCAGAATCTAGCCCTTCATCTTCAATAAATTGTACACATTTTTCAAGGAACAAAGGTATTCGATTCGTTTCACTTTGGGCAAAGTCCTCGATTAATGGTTGCTGTTGCGCCTGACTTAATGTGCCACCAGGTCCTTTAGACTGTTTTATTTTCTCCTGTTTCTTCTTCTCCCTTTCCTTTTCTTTTTCTGCGTGCTTCTTGAGCTTCTCCTCCTTTTGCCGACGTTTTTCCAACTTCTCATCTTCTTTTGCTTTCTGCTTGTCCTTTTTTCTATTCAATTTGTCTCCATCTTTGACCTTGTTCAAGATACCAAACTAAGAAAATATGCTGTTAATATATTTCCCAGAGGACTTTTGACACCTTTGATTTTTTAAATATTCATACTACTTACGCTTGGAGAATTAATCTCTCGTGGAGATGACACGTCTAAGCTGGATTCGTCATCTGGAATGTTTCGAAAGGTATTGTCACTCCTTTGCTTGGCTAGAATAACAATAAGTCCATGCAATAACTGACACAAGATAATAGCAAATTCTATGTGAACAAACCTCCTCCTGTTGTACATTGTCTAAACAAGCTTACATAATAATATACAAAGAAATCTACATTCTTACATGAAGTACAAAATTGTCGATTTCCGTAATTTTGAACAGATTTAACACAAAACAAAAGCAGTCCTCAACTACCAATATCACTAGAGAATTATATACGAAACGATGTTGATTACTCTTTTCGAAAAGCAGAGAAGAAAAGTATATAGTGGACAAGAAGCATCACATAAAACGGAAAATTTATATTTCTTATATTTTTCAACATGCAAAAATATTACTAGACATAACATCAAAGGCTTCAAGAACTATTATTCTATTTAAAATAATGTATTAAAATTTTAGTCACTTACAGGAAGCACTAAACATGTCTTGAGCTACATGTTTCATGTTGAACTGGTGCTGTAGCGTTGCAGCGAGGTGTTGTTGCGGCAACGAATTCCCAGATCGTTTTCGTAAACTAGCAGGCATATGTTTATATTGTTTGGATCTCGATCTTGAAGTATGTTCCGGATCACTGGACTCTGACGAGTCTGGTGTGTCACTAGATACTGCGTGAAGGAGACGACATATAACAATTCCAATGTATCCAATATATATAATGAAACAAAATTTTAAATAACTTTAAAAGAAATATTATTGTTAATACGTACCCCTTTCTACAGGATCTACTCGCCAATTTTTTTCTTCCTTAACATTATAATTGAGGCCAACAATACCATCTCCGCTTCCCATACTAGCCAAAAATGGAACTTTGGGTGCTGCGACAGGTATGGCGGTGCGTTTCTTACGTATTCTTTTGTGCGTCGCTGGTTTCTTATTCGCTGTACCTAAGACATCAGCTACCTTCTGTCTTTCCAAAGAGCTCCATTCCGAATCAGAATCGTTGTATGCTGTAGTAAAAAAACGATTAATGATTAATTTATCTCTATCAATAAATAAATTAAACGAAATTTTTTCTCACTGAATACTTACAAAGTTGTCCTTTCTCGCGTCTATTGCGGAGCTTAGGCTTATTGTTCCCAATGGAATCTTGCACCGAAGCGTACATGTAATCACCGTCGTAAGAAGGATACAGGCTTGGTACAACGTCTTTAACTTGGGCATATTCAGAACCAAGGTCTACCAATTCAGGCGTAGCAAGAGGAGCGTGACCCATTGTCATTTTAGGGCCGTGCTCGTCTTTCTCTCCTATTGTCATTCTAGCTATTGCGTCTGTTACGTTCGAGAAGTCTTTCAGATTAATTTTACCGGGCTGTTTTAACGTCTGACTGTTTCCCTTTGGCCGCGGCTTCGGTTGTGAAATATGCCGTCTGCCCGTAGTAAATGCTCTGTGAGGGTAGCTATTTGTCACTCCATCCTGATGAACAAATGAATGCTTCACCCAACCTGCTGAAACAAATAAGTATAAAGAGCATCATATAAAATACTACATGTATAATATACTGCATAGTCATAGATATAAAACTAACCGGGTAGCTTGTTTGCCATGTCGCCGGCCTTTAACAGTTCTCTTTCTCTCTCTTCTCGACACAAATCTACTTGGATGTAAATATCGCTGTCGTCACTAGATGTGGCTCTATTGTCTGCGAATTGCTCACCGTCAGGAGTTAACTGCTCGTACGACTCGGAACCGCTTCTGAAAGTTACAGACATACTGCTTCACGTTAGACTTTTGAACAACAAGAGACAAATTCACGTTAATTGATACACGTTAAGTAGTGTTTGAAATATCGTTCTAAGATTACTTACCCATCATCTGGTGTCTGAAGATGGTAACTTTCGTGTCGTGGTGGAGGCATAGGGTGCAATGCGGAATACTCCAGTGTTCCTTCGCCGCTGTCGTTCAAGTTACCTGGCTCCTCCATGTTAAACGCTTGTTCGATTTCTGGTTTCTTTTCCCATACTTCTTTGAAAAACGGTGTATAAAAGGCCGCTATAATTAAAAAAAAAAACAACATTCAAATGTAAGTTTTAACAGAATACTACCGTTTGCAAGCAACTATTTGTAAGATATAACAATACTTTTTTGTTGGCAACTGGACGCTGAGGTCATAAAATGTGCTTGTAGTCTATCTGCAGTTGCATTCCCCTCCGTGATGAGTAAATGACTTAAATCATTACTGAAGAAAGCATTAGCACCTCCAGTATCTGTTACAGCCATTATTTGTATTGGTAAGTTTGGTATATTCATAGAGAATGCACTGTAAAGGGTACTGTGTTAACATATAATTTCATTAAGTTCAAAAACATTAAGATTCAACGAATAAGAAGTAGATGACAACATTTCTGCTCTACATACTTAAGAGTCGCGAGCGATGCTTTCCTCTTGGTCGAATAAACCAATATGAAACCATGCACCAACTCGTCTCTAAATGCATTCGCCCCATGGAAACTGGAAATTATAACTTCGACCCTTCGTTTTGACTCTCCTAAGAAAGTTTCCAGAACGATTGATCGATCCCCACTCAGAAAACAACACTGATGATTAAGCAAAGGACCAAGTACGTTCTCCACGGAATAAGGATCTCCACAAAACATACACATTATTATTCTACAAAACAAACGCAATAAATTTCTGTAAATCGATTTTTTGTAGAACATACTAAAGTCAAACATTACAGTACCTAATATCAGGTTCTAAACATTCAATGACGCTTTGGTAAATATTCAAAAACCCAGCTCTGTGATTTATGGATTGTATAAGTTGTTGCAGTGCATCTTTCACAAGCGCAGTAGGGAATCTTTTATCCTGCTCCAAGTCTTCAATGCAGACATCGATGAACGGACATTGTAAACTATCGTAAAATCAATAGCTTAACTAGATGATTCTTTAAATGTGTAAAGAAGTTTGAAGGCTATAAATAATACCTATCAGCAAGATTCTGACCCTCCTGCCTAAGTCTTATTGCTTCCATTTCATCTATAGTGGATTCTGGCACGAACATAATGACAATTGGTAATCCTTGAAATGGCAATCGATCTTCCTGCTCTAAATTTGACAATAATGTCTTCTCTAGAGAGGAACGAATATATTCGAACGAATCTTCGTTCGAATAAATGCAAAATGATCCTATAAATGCAAACAATTACTTTACAAATGTTTGTTTCAGAAAATTCGATCCATAATAAATATGAAATCAGTGTGTACCATGAGGCATGAAATCAGACGTAGTAAATGAATTATGTGGTAGCCCAACATCACCGTCAATTATCCGATATCCAAGCGTATATAACTGACAGTCAATCTCCACTTCATCATCTTCCGTCTGGGCTCTAATCTCACGAGCAAATTCCTCGCCAAGGCCATTACTTCCAAGTATAACTAAATTTAATTGATTGTTATCGGATGTTAATTGCCACTGACTACTGTGGTTCCAAGAAGAAGGCCTGCGTAATCATACATTTAGTAACACTGAGCATATACAAACGCAATTTTCGTTTAATTGCAAAATGTAGTCACCTATGGGCTCTTGTTCCAAGTATTCGTTCTATAAGAGCATCCATACAATTTGGATAGGCTGGACAGTGCTCTCTTATAGGACAATGTACAAAACCCAAATGTTGGAAAAGCATTAATTTTCTATCTTGATCCAACCTATCTAAAGCTTTATACCTATGCACCAAAAGAAGCTATTATATATTATTCGTAAATACCCTTTAAAATGAAAATGATATTGACTGAATTACATACCTAAAATCGTCGACTAACGCATCTGTTATTTCTTTAATATCATCTTGTGTTATTGTTCCAGATGGAGCTATACTCTTGAAGTGATAGAACAAATCAGCATGTTCTAGTAATAATTCCTGAAATACAAAATAAAAATAACAATACAGGACAGTGCATATACATTTCTCATAACACATTGTATATTTATTTACTTGGAAATTATGCTTTGCTTTTTCGATAATTTCCTTTTGATGTTGGTCGTATATTTCTTGACAATCATGGTGAGAAAGAGCTTCAAAGCATTCCCTACCCATAAAAAGTACTCTAACCTCCGATAAGTGTTTCCCTGGTGTAACATACCCGGTTTCTTCCAACAGCTGTTTAAACTGCTTTTTCCATCTAATAAATGACAAACGTTAAATTTATATGACAACTTACAGATTAAGTAAATTCTTCTGTTCATCATTCACTCATCTACCACTTATCATTAAGCATTCACTTATCTATACTAAAAATACAGAATAATGAAAAAATGTTATTAAAGCTATTAATCTATTATTTTAAGTAATAAATAAATATATACTATAGCATATTACGAAGCAGTAAAAAAGCAGAATTTACCTTTTAGGAAGTCTGCACAAAGAAACGCCACCCAGAATGAAGCAAAGCATTAGTGTATTGCACATGGATATTACTTTCTAAAATGCTGAACGGTTGTGTAATTTTAATGATTACATTGAAATATATGCAGCAATGAACCAGTTTGTTTGCTATTTGTAAATAGCAAAAATTCAGCATATCTTAGTTATTGTAAAATGTAACCAGAAATATCAGTTTGCCTATATATTTAGCAATCACCTTTGACAACAAAATGATAATACTTACTCTAATCGTCGTTGTTCTTGTTGCAAAACATTTATATGATTTTTAAAGACAGTTTCAGCTTCTGGGGTTTCAAGAACATCATAAGGGATCTTTGTTCCATTATTTTCACCAAAATCACAATCAATCCATGGAATATCTTCGGGACATTCATAGAAATATTGATGAAAATCAGGATGTTCTTTAATATATTGTTGCACTGCAGACCATTCTCTGTAAAAATAAAATTTACAGATTAAATGAACCCACATTATGAATTGGGTAATTCTTATAAAAACGTACTCGTTGATTAAGTTTGTTACATCAGGGCATATTTCATGCAGAATATCAGGCAACATATCCAAATATCCTTGAATTTTCTTTGCTATTTGCTCATCCTTTAATTTCTTAATGTGTCTCCTGAACAATCTTTGGGTCGCGTCAGTACCAAATAATTCCACAAACGTTGCAAATTCTTTGTGCTGTGCTAACTTCTTGGATGCTTGAGACCATAATGCTCTATAGTCAGTAATATGTATTCGAATCAATCTTTGTAATGATTCTGTAGAAGCATCAAGAAGTTCTTTTCTAGCCCTGGCTGCCTCAGCAAAAGCTGTTACTTTACTGCGCGCTTTGGTTTTATCGATTAATTGAGCCAAAACTATAAACGTCAGATCGATGTTAATGTTTTCATGTGCAGAAGTTTCAATTACCAAAATGGAACTCTTGTACTCCTTACGCATCACCAATTTTTCTGCCTCTTTTACATACTGTTCATTTGCATCGTCATTTTTAGTTGTCACCAAAACTATAGGCTTTTTGGTTTTCATCAAATTGTTTAATATGTTTGCCACTATTTCAACTTGTTTTTCTATGGCTCTATTCGGAACGACGCTTACATCGAATACACACAAAAAACCATCGATATTTAATTTACCATCAGGTAAGACTTTCTGTTCGTATTCTTTTTCTATACCTAATTGATTTTTGCAAATGTACATGAGCTTTTCTGCACTGGTAATTTTGGTAGCCGCGCATCTTTTCGCGTAAGGTTCCATTTTGCCACCTTTAAAAGGCTGAAAAGATGCATCATCTATAAATTCAGTATGTTCTATCACTTGAAACTGATAATCAGTTCCATCTTCTGATGCTTTTGTTACTTCACCCCAATATAAGAAATGATCATTATTTACGACACGACCACTAAAATCCGACTGCAAAAAGAAATAGTAACTATTAATAACGGCAATCACCGAAAGTTGTCGTGGCTATGTAATCAATGCTATTTGACAATTACCTGTGACAACACTGATATATGGTCCACGTTATAATCATCGTTCAATGAACGCATGAAACGATTACAGAGACACGATTTTCCAACGCCGACTTGTCCCTTATCTTTCTCAGTACCGGAAAGACCAACAACGGCGACGTTGATAGTCTTGGTGTTATCACTTTTCCTTGCCATTTTTTTAAAGCTTAATACAATTAGATCACTTATACGATTAATAAGTGTGAAAATAAAAATCTTCTTTCCTCCAAGTTTTCCTCAGGACATCTTTAAGTACCACTATTAATAGTTCTGCTTGCCCATTTACCTGTGCAACTATTAAAAATCTCTCTTTGTTCCTTTGGTCATTATGTCAGATCTAAAAATTTGTATGAAAACCAGCATTATCTCCCTTTGGTAACATTTTTAACAATCTGCTTTCTCATTCTATTTTCTCCTTTCCTTCATAGCATTTGAATATCATGCTCTGAATTGGTGTGTTATACTCAAATTTTTATATAAATAATTACAGGCAAGTGTTATTTGTTGGAATCTCATTTGAGCTTCTTTAGCCTAGAATGATCCGAGTGTTGGGAGTAACAGCTGTACACCATTAAAAATTAATAACACAGACCTCTGAGAATCTCAAGACTTGGTATTCTGTGGTAAGCATAGCATGTATGATTTAGCACAACTGTGAGCAATAATTCTTTGGAATGGCACTGCGTATCTAGAAAAATAATATTCACAGTTGAAAAGACATGACATACAAGATATACTTGCTAATGACAATGTAGTAAAGTAACAAATCCTATAGGCTCTTCGTATTTAGGACTGTCTTAAGAGTTTCAAAAATATAAGAAACTTATCCAAAAAGAAGCTATACTTAAGTTCATAAGTTTTAATCGATCAGGATTATTTCTAAGGCTGTGATTTTGGAGCAATTAACTCCCACTTCAATCATTTAAAATGAGGTTTCTCATTTTCCATTACATATTGCAGGGCAACTGAAAGATATCATAAGGTAATGAGGACAATTTCTTAATCTATCCTTAAGATATCTAATTGATTAATTTATATGTAGCAATTATTAACATCTGTTAAGAAACTGAAGCTGGAAGGAAAACAAGTGGTATAATAGGAGTTACCCCTGAATTTTTTATATCAGCCAAACCTTATGAACTCAACTATAATTTAGAAGAAGAATGCTTTATATGGCATAAGGAGAGCCATCAGGTCCCTATTGATACAATAGCCTTTGTTAACCATTGGGATCTTTCTTCATAGCCTTGCTGGGTTTATTATCTCACTGTATTGTTACCACCAAGTATAATTTTTACATCAATGTAAGTTATTAGGAACACATATAAATTGTTCCATCCATCTCACAGGTTATGGATTCAGCTTAAGAGAATAAGAAAGATCTCCCCAAAGTAGATTCCACATTAATTTTCACGCAAATAACGTGCACCTATCCAATAAATTAGAGTCAATACAAGATTACAGTTCACGAATGTTACGAAGGCACTACTCTCGATTAAAGTATCAAAGAAAATAACGTGCACCTATTTTCCAGCAACGACAGAGCATTTCTATCTGCGACGCAGATTCATCGTTTTATCGAATTTTTTTCGTGGTTCCATTTAATACCGAAATAATCTGCAGAACGTCGTCGGTGGAGTCAACGGAGAAATTAACGAGACGCGAGTTCGTGCGGCAGAAACAGAAATTATTTTATGTAGAAATGACAGCTACGAATAGATCAATATACATTGTACACAACCGCGGTCAATTTCGACACGGACGAGTATCCCGGGAATCGGGAGAGATATTCGAGCAGAGACACACGAACTCGTATATAATTCATAAAGAACACGTACACAATTCGGTTGATGAGGATCGACGCAATCACTAAAAGTATCGCGAGGAAGGCATCAAAAAGGCTATGCTACCTGTACAGATTTTCGTTCGACGGGTGAACTTTAGTACACTAACCGGCCGTCCTGTGACGAATTTTTTTCCTTCGTCGACTCGATCGATCCTTCGTCGTTACACGGCCACACGCTCCCCCACGATCTGTGATTTTTACGATACACCGATTAAACGTCCAAAATTCGGCCTGCTAAACCTTTAACTCTAGGTGTGTGTAAATAACTTCACGTCAAACATCGAGTATTGCCCCATAAAGGAGCCATCTTGGTGGGTGGGCACAAGGCGATTAATATTTTCAGAGCAGATAGTACGCGTCGAACAAGAACAAGGCCGTATCAACTGTGCTCCTCACGATCCATTCATACGGGGTGTCCCTAGAATCTTTGGCGAACATTAACTGTGTATTCTGCTGATCTTATTACGACGAGGAAATGTCAGTCTAATAATAGATTGCCGAAAGCCTTTTTCTAAACTGTAGTTGTCAACGATTGCGTGACGATATATAAATCTGGGACATTTGAATGAACTATCTATTGTGATTGTAAACATTGTATGACGTGTTCTGATACGATAACGAAACTATCTATAGTCATACTTAGATATCCAGTAATGATAAGAGCGATAGCATTGGTTTATTGATAACGTGTAGCATAAATTTCAATAATCAATGAAACGGAGCTTGTCTACTCTTTTAAAGGCTCACTGTATCACTTTTTCCAATACCGCGACTTTGAAGTATTGTATCGAAAGAGAGGAAGAGAGAGTGTTGTTAGGTCTATATTTGTACAAGGTTTTTTATTAATCAGAGTTTTAAGGCCGTAAAGTTATTATTGTTGTAGCTTCGAGTGTAAACTGCATCCTTTTGGAAAAATTATTGCAACGTTTTGCCAGCATTGCAGCTTATATAGCTTTATAAGGGGTCGAATGACACACTGATATATCATACAGTATCAGATCATTTTACTACATATACCTATATGTAAAATGTAAAAAAACTTATAACTGAAGGCCTCAACAGTAATTACCGTTTTTATTAATTATCATTGAATACTGTAGAGTAATTAATATTATATTTTACACTATACAGAATACATCAATCGTTTTGTGAATACTATATTATGAACTAAATCTTTAATTACTCAAAAAATTTTATTCACATGACATTAAACATTAAACAAACTACAAATTATGGTAACAATAACTGATGTATCCTGCATTCTGAAAAATTAATTGCGAATAGTTCTGAAAAAAATGTCGAACCGACAATAATGAAAAGTATATTATTTGTCCATATAAAGAATCTAGAACATTATTTTTGAAAAAGGAAACCGTGTGTAAAGAATTTTTGTGGCCACTGTATACACTTACGGGATATTAATTTTCCAAATATTGACTATCATAATTTCCAAATTACTATGAATGAGTTATCAACGTTATTATTAATTATTAAAAGGAATCAATTATTTATGGTCATTATCGATGAAAAATAGGAACTTCAAGAAACCAAACATGGTTACGCTCCTGAGAACGCATAAAAACACCACCTGTGTCAAAGTGGCCGAACTATTCTGAATTAGAATGAAAAATGGCTGACAGCGGAGATGCCGTGAACAGTTCGTCGTCAGGAAAATCGGTCAGAAACACAGTTATCGATGGACCTGTCACCGATCCAGCCTCAAATACTAAGGTAAATCAAAGAACAGTGCCATCCGATGTTCGGGCGGTTAGACATTTTCTTATCTTGGGCTGTCAATGCGCGCGAAAACTTGACAGCCCATTGCCACGAGTATTGCACTTACCGCCGAGTACGATTCTCAGACTAATTAAGTCACTTACAAACTCAACGAAGATCCTTTTCAATTAACGTCTTACGACCCTTTAAACGATTCGATCACACGAAGAAAAAGATCTTCCCCATTACCTTTTCTACGTTCTATTCAAAACACTCTCTACACAATCTTTCGTTTACCTTTGTCTTTTTTTTTTTACCTGTGTTTTGTTTTTTCTATTGCGTTGTGGCCCAACCCTTCTGGGTCTTGTGATGTGACCACATGTTCTTGTTACATAATATTACTTGGTAACATTTAAGAATTTTGTGCATCTGTTCGTAGAATTTAACAAATAAGATGTAATTACTCACAAAATTCAAAGTTGAAAATGATCAGAAACATCATATTCTATTGTGTATAAAAAAGAAATAGCTTAAAACAAAAGTTTGTACAATAATCTTCATTAGAAACATATGGTTGTCTGTAAGATGTATTGCAATTAGCAATTCCTGAAACTTATGCAATGCAGATGTAATGTTATGATAATTGGCATGAAGCTCAAAGACAATTCATGTACATGTCGAGGACACTGCATTTTCTGAAGCTGTAAATGGTCTAACTACTTTGTTCCATACGTGCAAAGCTACTTTTCATGCATTGACGAAGAACCAAATGTTAAAAGTAAAGTATAAAAATACTGTACAAACATAAAGATGTCCTAGTAGTATCTGTGTATTAAACAATAACTTATTATTATTTCAGTTAATCTGGACAGAGAGTACATAACTAATATTTAGTTTCTTTGTATAATTTTATTTTATTATCAATTTCTGTTTCCTAAGTACAGTAATGTCCCATTAAACGTTTGGTCAGGTTGATCTCTTAAAAGTTTCTGCTTCATCCCGACTCCTGTGGGGGGGGGGGGGAAGACACCCTCATTAGAACCAATCAAATAAACAGGATCCAAATTATATCGTGTTCGATCTCATTTTAATCAAAAAAATCTAACCAACGTGTTAATAAAATTTTCATTAATAAAGAACCAAGAACAAAAAAGTTCGATCGTTGAATTATTGTATTGTTTCGCCGATACTGGGGCATTTAAATGTTTGCCTGCCGGCTGCCTCGATATTTCGTCCCTCTTTCTTTATCACTCGCTGTCCTTTTCTACGACCGTCGCTGCCGGAAAGATACAAAGGCGAGCTGCCTGGGCTTGGTTTAAAATTTATGACGTGTGAAACGAATTGACTTGGACCCGATAACAGTTTACCAAAGCGGACCCGACATTCGAACGTTTAACGGAACTTTACTCTACTTTCTTCTTGCGTAATAAATTGTAATGACTTTTAACCGATACTTTTATCTAGCACACGCCAATTATACTTCCGACAGAGGATTATTTAATCCATTGAACATTTTTCAATTAAAAAGCATAGCATAATATAGCTTCGACTCTGACAATGTAAGAGTTAAAAGGTGATTTGCATGCTATTACATGTGTTGCCTGCTCTCAAGGCGCTTATATATTATTTTACATATAGAGCATTATTCTCACAGTAGTCCGTAGGTTCGGTACCAATCACTCATGCATCGCTCATTACAAGCCTAAATACACTATATAGGCGTGGCACGATTAGCACTACTGAACCAATGATAGAGGCATCATAATAGTAACAGAGGAGTAATTGCAAAAAATATAAATAAAGAAAAACAGAAAATATAAAGGGAATACTTTTGCATATGTAAAACTTGCACACCAAAATATACTTCCAAGTTTTATGTACCAAGTAGTACCTTTGGGAGCTTTGTACCAAACTACGGACTGTACTATGAAAATCTTGATGCAATTTGAATCATGAAATGGTGGTTGTTGTGATTTCAGAGCCTAGAGGCATCAAATAATGCCTTTCAAGCCGCGAGAAAAAAATTAGTAAGTAAGAATATATGTGTAAGAAAACACAAAGTAAAACTTGTACTCCTTTCCATAGAGCGATCCTTGCAATTTCCTCAGGGCTGCTTTAATTCCCCATGACTACATAAATATGGTATGTGCCAGTGAGTTTTGTCATCCTTGCCTCTTCCCATCAAATAACACAGGGTAATAATCAGACGATTTTCTTACTTGAATAAATAACCATTAAAATTACGATTGACTCTTTGCATATTATCTGTCTTGTGTGTAATTTCGAAGCGAGCACTATGAACAAGAACAATTAATTTTTTCTCTTCCGTCCGTGTAAATAATAATTGCAATGCAGTTATCTGATACACGATACGTAGCAGACAGTTTCATTACTACATATCGTCTATATTAATCTGTGTCCATTCAGCCAAATAATAATGACTTCATTTGCACTCTTCTGTTTGTAGTTCATTTCGATTCATTGCAGCCCTTCTCAAGACAAAGGATATAAATGATCTTTTAATTAATTCAATCGTTCAAATGTTTAGGATTCCAAGTCTGGCGCGTTGAAGAAGTCCAGCCGCTATCGTAGCCGCTCTTTATCAGCGAGCAGCACAGACAGTTACAGTTCTGGTATGAATTCGTTCGTTTTAAGTTGTTGTTTAATCGTTAAATTTTTTAACTAAAACGATGTACCGTGCATTTGGCGAGCATACACTTACCTTTAACGAACACATTGCGAGAACATAGGAAGCATGGGGGAACGCGCGAACAGGACTTGATTCCGTGATCTTCGGATTTTTCGACCAATCATGATGTGCCTTAATTATAGGCATAGTTCCGTTCTGATTTTCCCAGATTCCTAACTACATGCACTCTCAACTAAGTTTGGGAATCTCGACCCTGCAATATTCATAAGCCTGTTGCATGTGCAGTTTGTTGTGACACTAATCCTATTTGTTTTTTTTTTTCTTTTTTTTTTTTTTTTTTTTTTTTTTTTTTCTTTTTTTTTTTGACACTCTTTTACTGTAGCATCTTATACAGGAAGCTCGTCGGACGAGGACGATGTCTCGCCACGTGAGAAAATCCAAAAAACGGAGAAGGGTTTCACGGATTTTTGCGTGCGCAACATCAATCAACACGCATTCGGTCGTAGAGAGATAGAAATAGCCGAGCAGGAAATGCCTGGTATCATGGCGCTTCGTAAACGTGCAGCTGAAGATAAGGTATTTTCTTTATGTGTAAATTATTAAATAAAAAAAAATAATTAGGTTTTAACAATACCAGACAATTGATACATTTTGAAATATTGTTCAACATAGCCGCTGAAGAATGCCAAAATTGTGGGATGTACTCATATCAATGCTCAAACCGCTGTCCTCATCGAGACATTAGTACATTTGGGAGCACAAGTTAGATGGGCAGCGTGTAATATTTATTCCACGCAGAATGAAGTGGCTGCCGCGCTTGCACACGCCGGTTATCCGATTTTTGCCTGGCGCGGTGAAACTGAAGAAGATTTTTGGTGGTGCATTGATAAATGCGTGGCAGCAGAAAACTGGCAACCCAATATGATATTGGATGATGGCGGTGACGCGACGCATTTGATGCTCAAAAAATATAACGCCATGTTCAAGATGATTCAAGGTTTATCCATTGTTCGTTTTACGTGTTAACATTATTTATAAAAATCTTGATAATATTATCTTGCAGGAATTGTCGAAGAAAGTGTAACAGGTGTACATAGATTATACCAATTGTCCAAAGCAGGCAAATTATCCGTCCCTGCCATGAACGTAAACGATAGCGTGACAAAGACCAAGTTCGACAATCTTTACAGCTGCCGCGAAAGTATTATCGATAGGTAAATTAATCCTAAATATATCGTTATAGTGTGTGTATAATATGTATATACGTATTATTAATCGTTTTAATTTATTTCCTTCAGTTTGAAAAGATCCACAGACATCATGTTCGGTGGTAAACAAGTTGTAATCTGTGGCTATGGCGAGGTTGGTAAGGGCTGTTGCCAGGCTCTCAAGGGTTTAGGATGTATCGTTTACATAACTGAAATTGATCCCATCTGTGCTTTGCAAGCTAGGTAAATTATCCTCGAAGAGATTCGAATGCCGTAATAATTTAATCCACGAATGTTTTGTTTACAGCATGGATGGATTTAGAGTAATGAAGCTGAATGAAGTTATCAGAAACGTAGACATTGTTATCACAGCAACAGGCAATAAAAACGTAGTTACGCGTGAACATATGGACAAGATGAAGAACGGATGCGTAGTATGCAATATGGGTCACAGCAATACCGAGATAGATATTGTACGTTTAAGCTTTAACGATATCAAGTTAGTTCCTATGAAAACTCGATTAGTTCCCCGATTAGACTTCTTAGGGAGAAAAACCTCGTGTTTCTTATATTTCAGAACAAAAAAAAATGACATGTATTGGTAAAACATTAAGACTCGTTTAATATGTGCTTGACAGAACAGTTTACGCACGCCCGATTTAACTTGGGAAAAAGTAAGGTCTCAAGTGGATCATGTTATCTGGCCAGATGGAAAGCGCATCGTGTTATTAGCAGAAGGCCGTTTAGTCAACTTGTCTTGTTCCAGTATTCCCTCATTTGTTGTATCAATTACAGCTGCTACACAAGCGTTAGCGCTTATTGAACTATTTAACGCACCTGCGGGACGATATAAAAGCGATGTTTATCTACTACCTAAAAAGATGGGTAAGCGAAACATGATCACGTATTTCGTTTCATTACATTAGATTGGTGGGTGGGAAACGAGTGATTGTTGCCAACAAGCTTTAATTTGCTACGTAACACGTACCGAGGTAACAATCCTTTAACTTTTTCAGTTGGTTTTACATCGAACACTTTCAATAATTGGCGTGAATTTTGTGATTAATGTAACCTTAGAATAACCTTAGTGTTTTAGCCTAGGAAAGAATTAACAATCACTTATGTCTCACCAACTTGACCATTTACAATTTCACATTAGATCACTCTATATGATAATGACATGATTTGATAGACGAATACGTGGCATCCTTACATTTACCAACGTTTGATGCACATTTAACGGAACTATCGGACGAGCAGGCCAAATACATGGGACTTAATAAGGCTGGACCTTTTAAACCTAACTATTACCGGTTCGTATATTCTTACGTATGAATTAAACTTAGTAGTAAGTATTTGTAATTAAAAGACATCATCTAACTCATTTTATTAAAACATTTCAGCTATTAAAATACGGTCAAGAGACACGGCACAGTAAACGCAGCATTCGAACCTTTATGTTTTCAAGTATTAAAAGAAAGCTGCCTCTTTTCAATGAATAATTTCCTTCTATTGATTTTGTTCATTCAAATCAATAGAATTTTATGACTAAGGTTTCCTGTTCTCTTTATCGTACTCGTAAGCTGTTTCATTAAGTTAGAAGAGTATCCTTTCCGTGTGTTCCAATAGAAATCTCGCCTCAGCACTGGTTGCAATAATCAATAATTAGAAGTTACATAATTGAATCTATGTATCGAACTAACTTTCACACCTGTATAGTGGAATTAATTTATGAATTGTGCAAGCATAGAGTCAAATGTGCAGTTGTTCAGTCGAATCTGAGATGGAGTTTGCCACATGCCAATTTTTTACGGCAAAAAGATTCAAAGAAAGGGAACGAAAATATGGTATACAAAGATCTGTACGTGTAAAACATTTTTAACGCCATAGGTTACGAAATTGTCATCGTCATTGCCATTAAAAGTTATCACGAACTATTAGATACTATTTTCACTAAATTGTTAATCAATGAGAACATTAATTCTCTTGACACAACTGGACATGTGTACATATACGTAGAAAATTGGGGACAGTGATCGTCGTGCAGATCAGTGAACACATAACGCGCGCCTCCTAACCAGTTTAATGTCTTTGAGACAATAACATCCAGTTGTTCTTCTTATCTTGTCCCATTACAACCCAATTATTTATACCTGTATGTAGGGAAGATTGACCCTTTTAAAATTGGTCGTACTACTCCCTTGCCGATAAAAAAAGATATCGATGATCATAAATAGAAAAATAAACATCTATGATGCCTTCAAGATAATCACGTTTACGTTATTGATTTATGCGTCCTACACCTATTATGGATACACTACTTTTATTCTTCGTTTTTGATACATTTATAAAACCAGTTCAATTATAATTATGCCTTACCGAGAACAGATTTTTAACTAATTGAATACAATATTTTGTACTTAGAATTTTATATATTCGTAAAAATTCATAGCTCTCAAAAAATTCATACCAATAAATGCCAGTGTAATTCAGTTTCACAAAGAAAAGAAAAACTGATTCCACTTTGGTGCGACGTCAAGGTAGAACAAGTCAGTGTTCCTATAAAAGGCCTATTACCTATCTCGTTCCATGTAACGCATATCAGGGAATTCTATGAATCTCGAAGCAATAATGGAATTGATTCCTGTAGAAGAATGATCACGGGTCATAACAATTAATGTTTTACTCTTCGATGAATGGAATTACAATACCGAATGAATGAAAGAGACCAATACGTGAACATGAGTATACTTGGTTATATGTTTGCACGCTTGAAAAAACCAAATAGGAACAAACTGCGTACACACGTGTATGAATTGTAACATAGTGACTCAGTAGCTTGCCAATTGTATGGAGCAATATGTACATATAAGCAAAAACGATACGTGGCTAACAAGGAGACCTCATGAGCGTCGGGTGTAGAGGCAAGTTCCCGATCCAGAGTGTTCGTAAGATCTCCTTAGGTGTTGAAACAATAACTATTTAACGCCCAACATTACTAGAGCCTATATATTGAGAGCAATAGGAACGTTTTGTTAAAGTGTAGTATTTTTGTAAATTAGAGGTGTCAATAAATGATACGAGTAATACGAACATTGAATTTTACACTTTAAAACAAGAGTAGAAAATTGATAAGATTGCAGGATAACGTGAAATGCAAAAATGCAATCTGCGTCGAGAATATCGAAGGAACACACTATACAATTAGAAGAAAATTAAAATGCATAACGTCGATATAAATGTTATATATTTCAGCATAATCGTTATAAATGGCTCTTAAAGCGCTTATCAACAGCGTTAATTAAAGATAAGATGTTACAAAGAGTTCTTGCATCCGTTCGTTTCTACGATCCGTGTATATGAGTATTGAAAAACAAAAACGACTTTGGGACTGATTGTAAAAACGGAAAAACCTACGTAAAATGGCAAGGCTCGACGGCATGGCATACATAAATGGCGTACCAGCGGTGGTCTACAGAGACGAACTTAGGCACAATTCCATGTACATAAGAAATAAATAATAAAACCAAAAAAAAAATGTAGTAAAAATATATTTTACAATACTCTGTACAAGATCTCATTAGAATTAGTATAGAGTTTGCTCAGCGCAGATTAGTTGCTGTGAAAAACAAGCTATCAATCCTGGAATACTGTTATCAGAATTTTTGTTTAAAACATTTATCACAACAAGTCACCACTATTTACTATTTACAATACCGAAAAATTACTTCCTGGAGTAGATAATAAATTGTAAATAGTATTACAACATCCCCTATACATGGTAAGAAAAGTATGTAATTAGTAAGAAAAAGGTTTGCAGCCACAGTATTCCACGATTAATATTACCGCCACATGTCCGTACATTTCTACAAAAAAGAATCGTGTTTTCGAAACAATAAAATTCAAATAAAATGTCCCTTACTCCCGTAATTACTATTTCTTTTTCAGGCCAAGATTAAAATGTCCTTGATCGCAAAATAACGAAACTTTTTGCAAAAACGATCAAGACTTCCGGTTAATTCACAAAAAAAATGAACAGGCACGTGAAATACGTAAGAGCACAATTCCTTCAAACACTTTTTTGTTACTACGTCAACAACAAATACCGCCCAATCAAAATCGGTGTCAACAATAATTCACTGCACGCTGAATACATGTAGAAAAAAAATGAAGAAAATGAACTCTACACAACCAGGGAGCCCAGCAAAAAATATGATTCGACACGATTATATTACATGTAAGAAGACGGAGGGAGAGAGAGATATGGAACAAAAACAATCGGTATTTACATAAGTCGATAATTCACGAGTCATTGCACTAAGATTGCTTCGCGCTATATAAAAATGATTTAAACCTGTTTCGCTTCGATCACAAACAGGCTTTCAGTATTCAATTTGATCGTCAATTAAACTCACATCATTGATAACACCGAGCTCCCGCAGTATCAATGAATGCTGTAACATAAACATTATAAACATCCCCAACGACCTATATTCATTATTCAACTAAATTATACAAGGGGTTGTTTGATTACATTTAAAAAAAGTAGTAGTGATGAATACACGCGCTCTATATACGCCTAATCTCTGCAAGGCAAATTAATTGGTAAAGATAAATGTTATAATGATAGAAATATGTCTTACAAGTGTCACGTATCATCGATATATCATCTATTTATATTTATATAAAAAATAGATATATATTGTATGTACAATGTAGACATGTAAAACCTAACAAAGTAGAGATGCACTCGATTATTTTCCTCTAAATCAATCTAATAAGCCTTTACCGTGAGAAATACTTAATTACCCCAACATGAGCATATTCGAAAAATCTTGCGTGCGTTCGTGCATTTTTCTTCGAGTTTTCTTTCGTTTATAAACATGTACTATACAATTAATTAATATTTTGTTTTTCTTTTCCTTGTATATTAACCCTTAACGGTAAAAATAGTTCGGATGGATCGACAGGTTTTTTTTCTTCGTACGAATCGATCAAGGCAACGAATATTCGCCCACGAACTGCTCGTTACGGATTCCATACACGCTTCCGAACACTGTATGTAGGCACACGCGTGTGTCCCTTACATGAAAACCGTGTTTTTCTCGGTTCGATTGCACTCGCGGACACGACACAGAACGGAGGCGTTCCATCGATCCTTTCGATGCATTCAACTGAATATTTCGCCTTAAACTAGGTAGCATTTACATGTTACACGCGATTCGTTAAATATTAGCGGCTGCTCGCTTAGTAACAATAATATAACATACGAGTATACGTAAGCTCGCTCCAGAGACAGTTCCACGAACGTCGAATACTTCCGCGGAACCCGTTACACATCATTTCACAAGTACAAACAACGGTTCGTTGAGGCTCATCTCTTTTCTCGTTCGTGAAATATTTTTCAACAAGATATCGTCGGCAAAAATTATTTGAACTTGTAAAATAACTCAGCTACAAATCCTCCCAGGCCTTTTTTGTACTGATATACATATATATATATTATGTACAGGGTATTCCAGGTCTTAGACAAGAAAAATTTTTTAGACAAGAAAAGCACGTTTCTAAGGGTATTGAGAAGAAAAAAAAAGAACATAAACATCGGCCCACAGATGCTTTTATTCAAAAGTTTCAATAGTAACAAAAAAAAAATATATGAAACGTCTGAAACAAGAGTAATAACGTTTATTTCGAATAGATGATTAGGTAGAGAGAGGGGGGGGTGCCATTTTATTGACTTCAAATCTTAAGTCTTTTTGAACTTTTCCCCGTGGAAAACGTCGAAAAGAGATGTTTACGAAAGAACTAATACATCTGATTCCGTAAAATGAAGCCTTAATATTTACTTACATAAAAGAAAATTAAAATAAAATTCGTACCGATGAATCAAATTGATTTTTGAATGCTTGCATCGACAAGCACGGCCGACATTTTCAAATCTAATATCAACAGAATAACTTTTGAATAGAGCTTCTGTAGTTATATTTATGTACATTTTTATATAACACTGAAACTTCGGACACCCTGTACATTGATTAGTAATTGAGTCGATTATTTACTAACATGAGGTGAGATGCGGGTACTCGATGCGTGATCGCAAGTAGTGATCGTTTGCGATAACGCGAAGAAAATAATTTCTTCTTCTCTTTGATTATCTTTTCTCTGAATAAAATTCCTTTGTGAGTAGATTGCTGCAATGATTGTTTAATGTACCGATTAAAATTTAATATGATGTTCTAAGATCAAATGATTCAACAATATCACAATAATATTCAAGTGTTTAAAAGAAATTACTCCATGATCATTGATGATATAGTGGAAACGGTACGTGTTTAAAAAAAGGCCTGTAAAAACTCATGTACCCCGTCAATGACTAGCTTAAGGTATTATGCATATATATAATCTTGCTTTGTTTTAGCATAAACGATTCAATGGCATTGCATAGTTCCTTAAAATTTCTGCAATGTGGGCTACCTCAGACTGCTATACTAGCATTTCCTTAACATTTCAACCATTTGCCATTTAATGAAATTTGCTGATTGCAAAGAAAAATCTCATCAAACTTACAAATAATTTTGTATTCTTAAAATGATCTTCACCTTAACAAGAAATAACAATATTTAAAACTCTCTGTTTGATTAAGAATGTTCATCTAAAAGTTCGACACCAGAATATTTCTTTCATGTAAAAAGTATTGAAATATCATTAAAAAATGTCTAGAGCAGTCTACAAAGGCATTCATAAAACAGAAATGATAAAGAATATTGTTTTCTAGTATTTTTCAGTTGTTCAAAGATTTTTAACGGACAATGAAATATATATGAGAATCGTGCAAAATCTATATCTGCTCTCAAAGAAGCACTTTGATTAATGTTTCCTTATCTTATTATCTTTGACCCTGTACTCGTTACCATAGTTTCCTTTTACTGCATCTTTTTTTCTGTCGATCATTGCTAGTGATAGATAGTAAGGTACTACAGGAACGATTTGTAAGTTATTATAAACAGATAAACAAATTGCGCGTACGAATGCAGTTTCAGCGAAAAGACGTTAAGAGTTCTTGTACGTGCTCCACGAATGTAACAAACAAATAATTCGAGCGCCTGCGATTTTTATCTTCGTCGTGTTGGGTACGGCGAAAATAGAAATTTGCAAATAAGCAATTCATAATTGCATGTGATTTTTTTTCTTTGTTGATTACGAATAGTTCTTTTACACGAAAATCCTATTGCTTCTCGAAATACAACAAATATATCTTTTTCTACTAGACTATAACTTCAAAGTTTCATTGAGTTTTTTAAAACAAAACCGAAAATCGATATGCATGTTACTATCATGCACAATAGAGCAAAGAACATTTCTGTTATTCAATATTGGCATGACGTCCGAACGAAAAACATTTAAATTTTTGGTTCGTTAAGAACGTATTTTGCTAGTAACATCAGAAAATTTTTACACAGAGTCGATTAAAAGGTTCCAATGAGAATTACTATACTGCCACAGATAATCATGCGAAGATATTTGATTGTTCCGACAACAAGGAGCTGTCCGTCGATGGGTGTATGCCACATAATTTACTTAAGTCTACGGATCCTTACGCTATGGCGCTGCTAGTGACCTTCACGTCACATTGCACAATAATATGATACAAAAGTAATTCATTTTGTACATACTTTCACAAATGAGAGCGTTTTCGTTTCCGACGTGTGTCCTCGTTCCGAATTTATCGTTGTACACGATAATCTTCTTCTCTAATTTCGTTTTTTCAGTCGTAACACGGCATCGAGCCTCGAAAAAACACTAAACTTCTCAAACACTCGTCCATGCCCACCACTATCGGGACGCGCGTTACAATTTAGTATTTTTCAGGCGGTTGATCTAAAATACTATAGTCGTAAAAAGACATGTAGGACTTACAGTTGTCGACTACATTTTGAAAGCACCTACAAATGCGAAATCGTATTGCACCACCTTAGTCCGTTGGAAAGATGTTCCCGTGTCAACGGAAGTTCGTACAGAAACGACAAACACTGAATTTAAGATCCTTTTCATTGAATAGTACTTGGCACAACAGTCACTTTACTGTATTGTTCGTCGGACTGTCCAGCGGTGCTCTGTGGCAGTGGCTTATGCTGATCTAACTTTGGATTCTCCGCTATGGTAACGTAACGGGTGTCCTGTTTGCTCGTGATAACTGGTTTATCCACGTCCAGCTTACCACTGGGTTTTGTTCCACCGGTCTGCCAACAGAGAGGATACGCGGTCGCAGTGTCCTCTTCGTCACGGTCCTCTATCGTTTCCGTAACGGTCGCTTTCGGTATCCCTATTTGTTGCTGCTGCAACATCTGGAAAACCGAACTTGCGAGAACGTACGGTTTCGACCCATCGGCTGTAGACGGTTGAGGCGGACCCATTTTTTGCAAAGGTTCCGGAGCAGCGGCCGACTGAAAGCTCGGTTTCTTCGACACCTCGGATATCGAGGACACGGAAATATAAGGCTTTGATGAGGAATCCAATGCGGATGACAAAGATGTCGGACTAACGAAGGAGGAAACAAACGGTTTGTTGCACGAGTCAGTCAGCGACGTTGATGCAAATGGAGTAGACATTGTAGTACTCCTTGTACCATCGATACTACTCAGTGTAAACGGTTTCTTTAACGAGTCAATCAATCCCGTTTGTACGTACGGCTTCGAAGTTTTGTCAGAAGTAGAAAATGGCGCTGAAGTTTCTAGTTTCGCTTTATTCGACTCTGTGAACGTCAGATCATCTAGATCGCGTAAAGAATCAATGGTCTTTTTATCCTTTTGTTTCTGTTCCAAGGAAGCTAAAGTTATGTACGGATTTGTGAGTTTGGCCTCTGTTTTGATCGGTATCAGTGTGTCTGCAGTAGATTCCGTTAGATCACCATCGTCTTCGGATTTTGATTTTATTGGCTTAGGAACTGCTCCAATGATGCTATACCCACCCGCAGTTGAAGTTTCTTTAGGTACAGGACTTGGATTACTCGATAGTTCTTCTGATGATGGCATGCTGATATAACCAGTTGAGGACCAAGTATGCTGGGACGTTGTATAACCCGTACTATCTGTTAAATTGGGCGTAGAACGTGCTAGTGATAATGTGTCCCCAATTATTGGCTCCCCAGGTTTTGTAACCTTCACATACGGTTCCCATCGTGCTGTTTCTGTAGTGAATCCAGGTCTGGTAATCCCAACGTTTCTTTGCCTTAGACTCGAGGCCTCCCAAGTTGGTAATGTTTCCATCAACTTATTGGGTGACACTGGCACTGGATCTATCTCTGTACCACTATCACTTGAAACTTGAGAATCAGATGTGAGAGATGAGGTAACAGATTCTTGGCCGCTTGAACAACCGCTTGAATCAGCAGAAGATTGTCGTATGTGCTGTTCACCCACTTTCTGTAGAAGCTTCTATAATAAACATTTACAATATACAAATAATGGGCATGTCTTATTAAAGATACATTGTTTGTTTACATAAGGATGATATCTAACCATGTTAGGCGCCAATCCTGGTGGTAATTTGACTTCGACGTCCTGCATGGCTTTGCATTTCAACCACATTCTACAATAAATAAAATGACAGTAAGTTACAATATAATACAAGGACAAGTAGTTACATCTTTCTCATAAAATATTTTGAACCAAGAAGTTATATATACCTCTTTGACATATGTACAAGACAGAAGATCATTGCTAGAATACTGATGCCTCCTATCACCCATATTATGACCCAAACACTGAACGATGGTCCTATGATACAGTGAAATTGTTAAGTAATCGCTTTGATGTACAAAAAGAAATAAAATGTAGCAGAAAAAATTTAAAATTAATTTACTATCGCTGTAACAGTTTCCCTCGCCGGCATCGGACCAAGGTCCGTATAAGTGTGTATTATCGTACGCAACATTAACAGCTCTGACGCGAAACTGGTATAGTCGTTCCCGTCCTACAGTCTTGCAATCAGGGATAGCTAATTGGGCCACTGCAACGAACGCATTAATAACATTAAACATAGTAATATCTGTCTGGTAAAAAAATGTATTTTTTATGGTATTACCTGCTCCAGTACTGTTTTGTATATCACCGTCGCTTGAATATATTTCGTAATAGTTCAAATGACCAGCCGCAATGTTCGGTTTACTCCACTTGATGATCACTTGACTGGAGTTCATGAATCTCACAATAGGCATATTGATTTTTCCAGGTACTCCGATCTTGGTGACTGCGTAGATCGTCGGCGATTTTACACTGCAAGACACAGTGCACGCCGCAACGCTAATGCTGTAATTAGTGTGGGCCATTAGATTTTTCAATTCGGTGTGATTCGCTTCCTCGACTTTCTGTGCCTCCTTATTATAATACACTTCATAGTATCTCAAAACGCCATTCATTGCATCTGGTGGTTTCCATGTGATGAACATAGTCGAGTTGGTCACGTTTATAATCCTGACATCTTGCGGAGAAGTTATTGGTGCAGCTTCGAGTGTTGTGTTATATAATGGATCACTGTGCAATCCTTCTCCACTTTTCGTTAGCACGGCGACAGCCAACATGTACGTTGTATACGGCTTCAAGTTATTCACCACGCCGTGAATAGTGTGAGGATCTGCTCTTATCGTTGTGTTCAGTTTCGGGCCTTTGCAGTTCAAGTTATACGGCGATACGATGGGGCAATAGTATATGTTGAATCCCTCTACGATTCCGATACGATCCGAACAGTCCAGTTTCCACCCAACTTCAATGAAGTCAGAGCCAATGCGGTTTATCCATACTGACTTCATTTTTCCAACAACTTTGTTGTGTATCACAGTACACGAGGCCCATACCATTCCACTACTTCCCTTATTGGTATTCGCGGAAATCGCGAATTGGTATACTTTGTTAGGATCCGGTACGGTCATGTTGTATATCGTTGTATTCTTGGACACATGCACCCAGTCCAGATAACCCTACAATTATCAAATTTAATATAAAAACATTTCAATTAAATAGTATATGGTAACGGATAAATACATACGGTGCACTGATAAGGACGATCACGTTCGTTATCGCACCAAAAAATTGTGTAATTCGTGATTTCTGAACTCATAATAGGTGGTGGCTTCCAAGATAGCTCATACAGTCCCGCAGCAAATGCGATCTTTGTAAACGCTATTGGCTCGTGGGGTACTGAAACATACGCACATTATTATTCATACATTACAAGCATTACAGAATACGGTTTCTTTACTTCTTCATGATCTTACTTGCATATTGACTAGGAACAAATATTCTAGCACGCTCCTTGTTCGCTCCAACAATGTTCGTTGTGATGATTTCAAATCTGTAACTATTGAAGCTAATCCCTTTGAATTTAGCATATGTTTTCGTCGTTTCATTGGGAATGAGCGACAGTTTTCGTCCATTCTCTTCTACATGATCAATCTCATACTTGAAATCGTCACCATTCTGTAAGTATTCTGGTATAGCTTGCCAATACAAATACACATCTCTGCTAGCACTGTTCTCCGCTATTTCAAAGCTTCCAATGTCGGTTTTTGGAGGACGGCCAGGTACTAAAATATTAAACAGACAGCGGTATAAAAAATATCTTAGAGAATATGTAATAGTAAAGGTCTAGTTCCTCACATTTTGGCGATGTTCTGAATGTAACGTCACTGAACTGACTCCATTTATCTTCTCCTGTTGCAACAGCACTTTTCATGAAAACTCGTATATCGTAGGCGGTGTTGGCATACTCCAACCCGGTAAGATTGTAGTATCTCTTAGGTGTATGGACGTCGTTTATAATATTGATTACCTAACAGAAATTTCTTATCAGTAAACAGTATATATTATAATCTGTGATACTGAATCTTTCTATATACTCACCTGCCATGTTTTCTTATGATCGAACTGATTGTTATATGTTATTTTATGATGTAAGCCGGGTGGAAAGTTTTGCATAGGAAAAGGCACGCTCCAATGCAATAATGCGCTGTCGGATGTTTTATTAATGACTGACAAATTAGCCGGTTTTGCGGGAATAACTAGAAATAATTAGATTACCGTAACAATTGCAACAATCTTAGTATGCTTGGTGGTAGAAGAATTATAGACACGAACCATGAGCATAATGATGAAATTTGTAATGAAAACTGGTATTTCCTAGTACGTTTTCCACATTTAACATGAACGTGTAATATTCGTAAGGCTGACGGTAAATCGGGTTCGTAGACGTATCCCACAGACATGTATTCTGTTGCAACAGTCTCTCACTTTCTTTTGGGCATGGAAATAACTTTCGTCCTCCTGCTCTTCCCGGCAATTTGAATACGAGTGTAAATTTCGTTGTAACGTAGTTCTGAACGGGATCCCATGAACAGAACATATTCTCCCAGTTATGAGACACGCAGGTAAAGTTCTGTGGCTCTTGTGGTTTAACTATCGATGAAAAATAGATCATAATTAATAAACTAATATTTTATTCCTTTGAAACTGTGTTCATATTAAATACAGAATGAATCATTTTCTATATAAAAGAAACTTCTATGAAATGTAAGATAAAGTAGAATATATATCCTTATAAATGGTTCTCTTTGTATAGAAAGGGCTTTATGTAATTGAGCTTATCTAGAATGATAGTCAAGAATGGATTCCAAGATCATATTAAATAAGACTCCTATAATTTCTCCTAAGTTCTAATGAAAGCAGCCTCCTGTCTCCATGAAATACCTTTTGACCTGTCCTGATAAGCAAATATAAATGACACTATTTAGGTTGGAATTCATACTGTAAACGTAAAACTAATATAGGTGGCTATAGGGTATAAATTGTGCAATTATGGAAACTAGGAATCAATTAAATTGATATTATTTAAAACACAATACTTACATCCAACCACAACTTTGTTCAAACAAACTGCTTCATATTGTTTATTATAATCATTGTGTAGCTTTAATTTGCAGTAATACATGTCTTCTGCAGGTGGAGGTCTCTCCACATCCAATGATATTGTAGTTTCATTAATGACACTAATATATTGTGGTTCCATTTCCTTCTTATTTCGAAAGAATACAAGATCTGAGACATTCTTTCCAGGAAATTCAGCATCCATAAACGTTTGATTTAATATACAAAGTATTCGTAATGATTGACCATATTCAAGAACAATGTCCCCTGGTGGCCAAGTTCCTTAAAACAGAAATAGACATTTTAATAATCATTACTTTGTAAATATAAGACATTTGGTAAACTAAATCGTTATTTTCCTCCAACTTTGAGCCTACACAGCACATCCAGTGTATTAAGTATAGATATATGCATTTAGCTCCTACACTAGAATTCCAAAAAGAAAAGAGAGGTGCATGCTTTATAAATTTAGCAATGCTAGATAGACTCAAGGAATAGATAATTACTACCTCTGTTACTTTTATATTTGAAATGTATTATTTTAAACCACCATTCAAAATTAGTTTTAGTTAGAGAAAAACAAAAAATTTTTCTATTAACTAAATTATACTTACTTCCAGGTGTTTTGAGACCAATTGCACACTGACTGGTGTCTGCACTGCATAATGATGCACACAATACAATGATAAAAGGGATTAAAAATGTTCTCCAAAAACAATTCCGCCATTGTGTACCGACTTTTTCAGTAATCGGTAGTAGTGCATTTTTATGTGCAGGAGTTCTCCGGAAATTGTATTTCTTAGAACTCACATAACTATTTGAGATTTGTTTCTGTTTTTGACAATGCATTATATCACAATTACAGGTAAAACAATTAACATCTTTGATTGATATACAACGATTAAGCAAACATATGCCAGAAGAATACTCAGTATTTGCTGAACATTCAGCTGTGTCACAAAATTCATTTTCTATCCTATTAAGAGTGTCTTTCTCCACAAGGAGATGATTGTTACAGGACAGAGTCTGTCTCATTCTATGCACATCCAAAGATCTAGCAACATCGTGTTTTGTTGCACTTTCTGAATCTAATGGTGAGAATTGAAACATTTCTTCTAGAAGTTTTTTGGGATTTGCTTCGGTTAAAAACATCTTGCCCTCCCATCACTGAAAAGAAACACAAAATTGTACTGATTACTGAAAAATGATTTCACTAATAAAAATTTGCTGTGGCATTGCAAGCACAAAAGAAACACCAAATCAATTACATTAGAAAATGAAAGTTAAAGCACTAAATGAAGACACTAAATGGTATAGTTCCAAAAGCCAAAGCTAAACTGAGTATACAACTCATAGTATACTGAGTATGATGTATGTCAAGAAAGTCAATCTGTACTCTTGATGACGATAAAGTGAATATTAATGAGATAGACTATAGTTTCGATTGATAAATTCTGGGTCACGACATATTACTCCATATTTCTAATGTAACGAGTTTTCAATAATTTCTTATCTAATTTACCTCATTCTACAAACAACTTGCTCGGTGTATACAAGAATTGCATAATCGTACATCACTTAAGTAATCCCAAATAGGATTTACAGAACAAATCATGGGATAGAATAAATAATAAATATAAAATCTCTTGCATAATATAGCCATTAAATAAATATAATTACAATAACATATTTAAAGTAACATAATACCAAGAATGTGTGCACAAAATCTTATTTGTGTTTATATGTATTGAATAATGCTTTAGTGTTGTACCATAGATGCATACCAAATAAATGGACAAACAGACTAAAATCAAAGAGATAACTCTCCCAGATAAAAGATTGCTGAATGAATTATTCATTGAGCAGATTGAATACCATTATTCGATATGTGGCTCAAACAAGATTTTAAGGAAATTTATACAATTCAGCTTAAAAATAAGCTAGTAGTCTTTTGAATGAGCAATACATTAACTTGCAAATTGCTTCTTTAAATTTACTACAACCCCTTTGTAAAATTTAATGGCCATTGTAAATACATATACCATACATCTGATAGCAGCTACAAACTGAATGAGATTGATAGGTACATTGTAAAATTTGTACAACAGAATGTATTAGTATGTCTACAAATAAAAGGAACATTAACAAAAATAATTAGACTAGATATGTTTGCAAACTAACATTTTTATGGACTCCTTTCTGAGAACAGGAATTGATTGAAAACCTATAACTTCAACAGATGATCTTCCATTTATTGCTGCTTTGCATATTTAGTAGTTAATATTTTCATTACATTTTACTCCATTATTTCATTGCATAAAGAAGAAAATGATCTGAAGAATATCTGGGTTAAACCTTACTACAGTTGATACTTCGTTAAATTTTACTAGACTGCATCTGTCATGATAAATAATAAATAATAGCAACAGTGCAGAAATCAATAAAACTATGGATGAAACGTGATGAGAAATTAACGAAACAGGTTACACGCTACTCGTCGATCATGCCATTGATACGCACTCAGAAGCATTTCCTCGATCTCAAGTTTGTCGTTGTTTAGTAGAAATGAATAATTATCGAAGAAAGAGGAAAATATTGATAACTCGAAAACGTAACCAGTCACCACGGTCGTGGATACGAGGAAGAAATAGAAAAAGAGAGACAGACACACACACACACCACATACGGTGAGAGAGAGAGAGAGAGAGAGAGAGAGAGAGAGAGAGAGAGAGACATATATGTATACATATAGTAAGCACGCATGTACACATAGCGTTCGTAGAGAAATTATTTAGTACGATGCGGTGCACGGCCGTTTCTATAAAACCACGGAATATTCCCGGAGATATTTGAGACGCGTATCGCGTTGAAAGCATTATAATCGTTTATTTACGAGCATACGCTGCCCGTATCCACAACGTAACGCGTCTCGGACCCCGTATCCCGTCTTGTCGCGCGTATATCATGTGTGTACGTGTGGCTACACGCGCGACTGTGTGCGATCTCATGAATGCTGGCCTGACATGAACAATACTATACAGAAGCTTGCACGTACACATACATCGTACGAACACGCGAAACAATGTGCGTAACGAGGTTCGTCGCGCGTGTAAAAAGGGTCCGCTAAAACTCGGTATAGCTACGGATATGAAAATGCACGTTCGTTCGATCGCGTGAGAGAGTCAGCCGATCTCGAAAGTGTAGATCTCATCTCACAGAGAAACGACATATGTATTTTGCAGGAGCTGGGGAAATCCGGAGCAGTCATTCGTATGTATCCAATCTCCTTCGAGTACTCACCGTCAGCAAACGATCGACGAGTACCCGCGGATTCTCCCTCATTGCACTATTCACGAATTCCCGTCCTCGTCGTCACTTCACTGCACCCGAACTTAACGAACACACTACGGGGCGGTCGAACGTCGAACGCGGACTCGCTCTACCCGCTGGGTATATCCTTTGGTGACCGTAACGCGTTCCGAGATACGATGCTCACGGACGGGGCCACTCGTGGAATACACCGCAAACACCTAACCACGGCACGATATCACGAGTCGCAGCCGCTGAAATCGGCCGTGTCACTTCATATTTGCGAAAAAATTCTGTTTACATTCGCCCAGAGGGACCCACGAATAAATATATACGATACACATTCTGAGTAAAATACGTGCGATCAATCGACAGTGGTGCCAACGTGTCGGCGGATCTTGATGAAGGATTGGAAAAACCAGCTATAGATGATCGAATGCTTTTAGTCATGCGATGACTCAAATTTTTGGTTCTTCGAGGCGGTTTTGAGTAAGAATGTCGATTGTTTTAAAGAAGCAAGGAAATACAAGCAATACGGGAAGTATGTTTTGAGCGCCGTAGTTTGACGACATTAGCTGACGTCACGACGAGACGTCAAGCGCTGCATTCTCGGAAATGTAGGCGCAGGCTTCATTGTTGACCGCGATATCGTCTGGCAGGCGCCGTTTTTGAAAGCACTCGAATTCTTGTTTTTAGAGAGGATATCGAACCTTCAGAACAAACACCCATTTCTTAACAGATTACCTATTGTGAGCTCTTTAATAGACTTTTAAGGTGAAACGGTTCAAAACCCAGAACCTACTAATCAATTTTTAATCCCGGCACAATTTATAATAGTAAAGCAACAAGACAGGTCGAGTATAATAATATTCATAATGTAACAATTTCTTCTTCAATTCTTATTTAAAGGGACGTAAATATGATCCTTTTTTTATAAATACCGAAATCAATAAACTTCCGGGCAAGAAAGTTTTAACAAATGTGACGGACAATTTACAAACATGATAGTCAATTTCGACGAACGATAGTAAATTTTAATCAAAGGCCATATTTCTTTATAACAATATTGATCTCTCAAATTTATTCGTGTAGCTGTAACGCTGTAAGGTAATGTGCATATACAGTACTGAACGATTCATAAATGCATCTTAGCAAGAGACAATATCGCAATACAAGTACAGAAGACATGGAGTTCTTTTAATGATGAAATTACAATTATTAATACATTTTAATTGAAAAATCATTGCTTCGTTTACGAAGCTTATAATTATCAATAATATAGTATAATTTTAAAAAATGAGTATATATATATATATATTTACACTTATTTTTAACTTGTTTATAATATCCTACATAATATACAAATTGTGTATATGTATACATATATAATTATAAAAAATAAACACAATAATTACGATGTAAGATAAAATATGATCCGTCTTTAAATACAATTACGGCTGCTTATCGTTAACACGATAGACGGAAAAATTGCTTATATAAACAAACAATCAACAATGACGAATTGATGCTCGTATCATCGTGAGTGCACTGATTTTTTTTTATCTTTCTTACACGAATTAGGTTTAAAAATATAATCTAATTTACTATTACTTAATTCGTTTACCGAACAACGTTCTTTTCCTAGTCGTTACGAACTTACTAGTAAAAAAATAGATTTATTAGTCTTTACATAGTCAACGTGCCTAAGTATCGCAAAAAGACAGGAAGAGGTTGTTTCGACAAAAAAGCTTTTTGCTTAATCTTTGTTAATCATTCGTGTTTTTTCTTCAGTCATCATCTGTTTATTACAACTATTACCGTGTAATCGGTAAGAAAGAGACAACTTTCCAAAAGAAAACTTTTTTTTGTTGAAATATTAAATGCAATCGCCTTTGCATCGATCCTCTGCATTGCACCTCTAGACAAAGCAATCGGTCGGTGCATCTACTTCTTTGGTTGTATCAGCACTTAATTTAATTATTGCTACACGTACATACTTCATACAGTCATAATAAATACTTAAAAACGAAAACAATATCGACAATATCTTGTTTTGTCGAATGCTGCTCATAATGTAATACAGTAAAACAGTCAAACACTAAACCATTCAATTCTACGAGATTTGCATATTCATGCTAAGAAGATGTACGAATTCATGATCAAGGCCACAATAATGTTACAGGATGAATATTTCAATACATACGATTAACTAAAGAGATTTTGACAACGATAACTGTAGTTAACATCTTTCCAGTTTACAATTTCTCTTATTCAAGAAGTTATCAGTGCACAATTGTCTTCCTATATAAATACTAAAATATCTTTTCATACGTTACGTGGGTATCAATCCTATTTGCCGTTACAAATAGATCACACTCCACAAACATTGAGATTTCATATATCTTTACAATTGTATATAGTCTTGTACAATCGATCCTAGTACAAACTCGTGCATTAAAAATTCAAAATCATCCAATATGCGGTAAAAAAAACGTCGAGATTTTCTTCCCAAAAGTTAATATTTAAGCTTACAAAATATTAACTTATTAAATTTATAAAATAGACAGGACCAACATGTCGTGCCTCGTCCACGCGAAACATACTTATCATAAATATCGATTTTTGGATGAACAGCAGTTTAAGAAAATGAAAAATCGTACTTTCTGACGCTTTTTGGGGTGCGCACCCATCTCGTGTAATTTCAATAAATGCCTGCGCGGGATGCCCTCATCAATCGGTCGAATACTTATTTGGTCGATTGTAAGATTACTCTATAACGAACATAAATTCAATAAACGTTTACAATCGTTTTAAAAGCTAAGCGTTTACTTAGTATTTTTGTTATTAAATATTGGAACACGCGCAAGGCACAATAATCTCAAGCTATCACACGTGTTAGGATGAATTAATATTCTCTTCCTCTCGGTAATTAGATTCGTTTAAATACAGAGTTAGCACCAGTCCAATCTTGGTTAGAGTGAGCAAGTATCGTCCCTATAAATCGGGCATTTTTACGAGTCACAATCGTAGCTGCAAGGAAAAAAATATTCACACATTCCTTCCTTCAACTGAAAGTCCATAAAAGATCTCTTACTATAAATTAATGTTAATACCACTAGAAAGTATTTCATTGGGAATCAACAACCATGTCCTCGGTATATCACTAGAATGTAATACATAGAATTCGAAGCTCGTGTAAATAATATTTATCAAATATTAAAATGTTGAACGACACGCGAATGCTTGTAACACTTGATTCCAGTATGTCGCGTATAAAAAAGTATTTTATCTTACTACATACCTACATATATGTATAACCAACTCCATAAAATATTATACAATATAACACACTGTTTCCTTTTTGCACCAGACACTTCTGTACTGATTCTCTTAGCACTGCGCAACAGTATTAATCTAACTCTCGCTGCAATAAAACAACCTCTTGCAAATCATTCTTTCCTTTCTTTGTATTGTCTTTAAAATTGCTTTATTTCTTACTACGCGGTGCCGAATGTTAAAATCTGAAGCTTCAAGTGTGAAATTATCAGGGGAATGTTATACGGAGGCAACGTTAGCATTAGTATAGTCACTTGCAAAAATTAATGGCGGTGTTACTAAAAAGTTTGTTATTTTCATATATTCATATCGTAGAGGTGTGGGGGAGCACCTACCACTGAAGGCATCTGACAACCACGTCGAACCAAAAGTCGAACGGATGGTCCACCGTTTCGTATAATTTCGATCGCCTCTGTGTGTGTCATATTTTTCGTATTAATTCCATTTATCTCGATTATCTGATCGCCTACCTGAAAATGATTATTTACGAAATAATATATTTGCAGCGTATGTATTGCTTTGATAACACGTACAATCTTTTGTTAATAAGGTAAATCTTACCCTTAATCGATTATCAATAGATGCGGGACCATTTTCAGCAATTTGTAACACAAATAGGGGCATATTTTGAAATTCACGTCCTCCACGAATACTAAAACCAAATCCTCGAGTTCCACGCGTTAATTCAACGGCGTGGTACTGACCTCCATCTCCGTCACACGTCGGTTCATCCTGCAATAATTTATATTACATATATAGGATCTCCCAGAATAATCTTATTATAAAATTATGACAGAGACACTTTACATCAACATTTTAAAATACAAAGTATTACCAGTTTTTAACACGTTAAACGCCGAACTTACTTTGTTGTCCTTTCCGTTCCCGCCGCGATATGCCGGCAACCGGAAACATACGTAAGGTTACCATAAGACTACGTGTATATTCTTCATATGTATTCTTTGTATCTTATCGAAATCTGTATACTATTACGCGTATATTTGTAGGTCCTTTTACAAATGCTCAAACTACTTATAAGAATACAATTCTTTAAATTATATACCGTCCGTCACCGGTGATTGACGTGGCGCTTAACGTGTTAATAAATTGAATTCAACTCTTTATAAATCATTTATGTATCGATGTTACACCTTCTTCTTATTTTTGCTCCTGGACACTTTTTATACTTAACTGAAAGTACCTAAATAAGTAATGAACAATACCTTTTGAGACAGAGACGTATTACTGCAACAATCATCAAGAGGGTAACCGATTGTCAAAGTAACAGAATACCCGGAGTCCTTAATCAAATTCACAATATCTTTGTGGCAAACGTTCGTAATATCTACATGATTAACGGCAAGAATATGATCTCCCACATTTAATCGTCCGCACCTTTCCGCGGGCGAACCTTCGATTATTCTACCAATTGTCGAGCCAGCTTTGTTAACCGAGGAAATTATTACAAAACCGAAACCTTCATTCTCCATTCTAGTAACTGTCACATCATAAGGATATTGAAGATTCATTTGTCTATTGTACGGAGTCTGAAGATTGTCCGGCAAGTGTTCTTGTGTGTTAATTCTACGACGTATCCCCAAAGTAACTCTGCCATTTTGAGCTGCAGCGATCATTAACTGAACAACGTGATGATGAGACGAGTTCAATACACTTTCACCATCGACAGACATAATCAGGTCCCCTGTATTTAATCTACTATCCAAATCAGCTGCACCACCAGGTACGATATGTCCAACCGAGACCTGCTGACAATTACATTATCAATACCATTGATTTCCCTGAATTTATACGTTAGCATTTTATTAACTCACTTGAGATCCTTCCTCTGTGCCACCCACTATCCTAAATCCGAATCCTGTATCCTGTCTAATTAATGTGACCAGTGTTTCTATCCATTCTATGTCAGGCACGATCGGACATACTAGTTCATTAGTATATTGAGGGTATCTGATATTGAAACGATGACTTATTAATTTCAGAGAACCCCATATCAAGAACATTAATATGGTTCAAATATATTCTTACCGCGGTATAGAACTGGAATGTGGTTGTTCGTGTTCAAAACTCGTAGTCTCTTTGCGTTTATCCCATATTTCACCAGTATCAACATTTTGCTCTTGACCAATAGAATATACATTGTAGTCTTGTTCACTGTATTGGGAATGAGATTGTGACGTGTATAATTCTTTATAGTAATCCGAATGCAAACAACCGTTTTGTTTTAACATATTATCATGATGAGGTATATCAATAGAATACACATCGTTGTTTATGTTTACTTTATCGTTTGTAACCCAGTCCCTTTTCACAGTATTCCGTACAGAATCGTCGTCTAAATTGGTCATTGCGGCGAAGTTATCGGATAAGTTCGTAATGTTTGCCTTATACGGATCAGTGTAATACATGCCATGAGTATATTCGGAGTACTTATATCGGTTATCAAGCGGATTTAATTCATTATCACTTTGCTCATTCCAATTGGACCTAATTGCATTCGTTGGAGATTTTGGACGATTTCTGGTATCTATGAGCGGTGTTTTCGGTCGACTCGGCACAACAGTCTTCGTCTGAGTGCTGTAGATATCAGCAGTTGGCGTTTTACTCCGGAAAAATTCTTGCGAGTTCTTCTCTTTCTTTTCGTTTGACTTCGATGTCGTTCTTTGTACGTGTATCAATGCTTCTTCATTGCGGGGACAATCTTTCAGAACTTGTACCACCTCGGAGTGACACATGTTTCGCACATTAATATCATTTATGTTAACTAAAATGTCACCCTCCATTAAATTTTTACAACGTTGACGGTCCAAGATCTTCTTCACTTTTTGACCATGAGCAGAATCCGCTATTGTAAATCCGAATCCCATGGTTCCTTTTACAATAGCGATACTAAGAAATTCAGGCTTGGAAGGCACTGGTGAATCCTTACAGTCGTTCAGATCGCTGCTCTCCGACAGAAGAATATCCGTGCTACTGGGTCTTTTAATAGTATTAATCTTATCAGAGATACAGAGATCTGGCATTGAGTTTACAGATGTAGTGGCAAGATTTTCACCATTTTGGAGACTATGTACCGGCAAAAACGTAGAGTCTAGGAAATTGAAACGACCGTTGCTTTGTAGAGCAGGATCCAGGTCCATGTACATCCTAGGATCTTCTGTCAAAATATCTGAGGAAATTGAATTTATTCTTCTAGTAAGAGTTATAGATAATATGAATTTTACCTGGTGCATTAACAGCAATAGTAGTAACAACTTCTGTGTTAGGGTCATTTGGATCAAACGGCAATGAGTAACCTCGACATACTTCTAATGTAACAGTTTCACCACTAACAATTGACTTAAACACATTCACCATTTCATTATGCGTGAAACCCAAAACACATGTATCATTAACATATACCAAGACATCTCCTGCAATTAACATTGTTTTTTGTTGATAGAATCGTTTCAGTACTATCACATATGGTTTATTATGTAAACATATAAATTACCAGTTTGTAATTTTCCATCTAACCATGCTGGTCCATTTGGTACAACACTTTTTATTTGTAAAAATTCTTCTACAGAGTCATCCCCACCGACAATAGTGAACCCTAGTCCTCTTGAACTTTTTACTAAAATGGTCCTTATCCTCTGACCCTTTAGGTTCTCAGGATTTCTAGTGAAATTAGGGCTCTTTCTTTCTCCTAAACTTTGCTGAGCCCTCTTAGCTTGCAATACTGGGTTTTCATATTGAGTTCTACGATTCACATGATCAATAAAATATGTCCCATAAAGAGTATCATCTATTTTCTCCCAACCATATGGTAGTTCATCATCTAAACATTCTTCCAAAGATCTCTTTTGGAATTTGGATAAACGTGGATCCAACCAGTGTGAGGTACCTGTGTTATGGCTGTAATGTACATAAATATTTCAAGTAACAACATAATAAATACAATCTATGGCGATCAACCAATGTACAATGCCTCTCAGTAAATCATGCTGTAACTAGGGTTGCTGATCATGTGAAAATTGTAATAACAATTGATCAATTCATGCTAATATTGTCCTTGTCGCATGTATTTTAGCAAATTGTCACATGATAATCAACCTGAGGAATAACAGGATTCATTGAGACATTCAGTATATTATACATACTCTATAAAATAAACTTCTCCTGTATCTGTATATGCCTTTTCCCAATTTGGAGGCAAAGGTCCTAACTGGTCTTCTGTAGCTTGAGTGCGACTTCTATTGCCCTGCTCTTGATTGGATATTCCTGCATTTGATTCAGAACCTGAATTGTACAAATACGTAGGTGGAATACGATGACCAGTTTCATCACTTCCACTGATAGCTAATACCTCTCTGTCCATGCTTTCTCCTGTAATTGTCCGCATTGCAATAAACATGTAAAAACCCAACTATAATTAGGAATATTGTCTCCTGATGTTCACGAACAGTCCGCGCATATTTGGACATATTTGTACTGTCCGCGGCACAGTAAATGTACTGATCAATACTTAAAAACAATTGAATTACATACCATCATTAGTATTATCGATGGACGTTGTGTCTTCTGTTTTTGTAGCCATTTTACAATTTCCTCGAGTTCCGCCTTAATACCTCGCTAAAATAACAATGAAAAATACAGCGTTCGGAAAATTATGCGAACAAGAAAAATCACTTATTAAATAAATATACAATAATAAACATTCGTACGGAACACAATATATTGTTGGCGGTAACTAAATATATGTATACCGTATCAGGAATAAAGATTATATTTCAACCATTGCGACACCTTTCACGCAACGTTTTCAAACATTTTTCACGTTATGTATTTCAGTATTAGTTACGCGCGTACAATAATCGCGTTATCCGGATCGGCGGGGTCTCAGCGCGACCCAAGAAGAACACTTTTTATCTGCAATTCTAAACATCTTACAGATAAGTGGAAGACTTGAAACGTTGACGGTGAACGAAGTATGCTGGGCTTCCTGACATCGGTCTCGTCGACACCGACACGCATGATACTCTAGCAAGCCGACGGACAGGTGTCTGCGGTAAAATTACACGAAACAGGAGAGGAACACGACACACGACGGACGTGAATGCATTCGTAAGAATGCATTCACCCGAGAGAGCCTGTACGTAGCCCACATATCGCGCATCATTGAATGCAACTTTCTATCCAGGAAAGTAACTTGCCGTCGACTCTCGCGAAACGTAAATACATTTTTCGTTCCGGAGACGCGATTCAAATGCAGTCTAACGTTTTTCCCGTGTACATTGGTGTGCATACATATCTACGAGAAAACGTTACTCGTAGATTCTACTACATCTCTCCTTCTCTCTCCCTTTCTTTCATTCCTTCTTTCTTTCCCCATCGCACGTATACGCATGCACGCGCATACACACACACACACACGTTCGTAGAACGAGATTGAGATTGGCATGGAAATTCACGAAGTGGGAAATAATGATACAGTACGAGCTAGGAAAACGATATTCCGTAGACGGTGTTTTTTTCACAGGGGTCTACTCACGGTGATCACGATCGACGAGATTCCCGGTTGATTCAATCATTGTGGCTCAGCCGTGAAAACGGACTGAAATATTTCGGCACTGAATCACTTTGGAACCATCGGGGTACTAATCATTTTCAAAATGATTGCGGAGAGAAATGTACCCGCGATCGTCACACAACTACATCACACACGACACTGCGAATGCACGCAGTACGCAGTTCGAGCCGTTCGAGGTTCGAGGTATTTAACCCACGTTCACGTATGACGCCGCGCTGTGGATGGATTTTAAACTATACGGGTAGCGCGACGTTCGAACGTGGAATAACGTTTGAAAATTTAAATTTAAACTCGGACGCGAATTCGAACACGAATTTGAATTTCATGTTCATTGTTTTGTACATTTCGACAAATTATAAAATTGTTTACCTATTACCGACTCGAGAATGAACGTTATAACGGTACACAAAACCATCAGAAGACAACATCTCTTTGCTTTCAATATATAGTATTCAGGCAGTAAGTACAATTATAAATAAATTTATACAACATTGATATTCGCTTCGTATTAAGTATAAAAATTAACGTAACAGCACGTGAAATTCAAAGCTGGATGAAATTGTAGTTGTCGATGACTTTGTATCTGCGGTCTCTGTAATGTGTCAGGTCATCCAAGAAGCGCATACTACTTTCGTTATGCAGCTTCGTGATGACAGGTGGTAAGGGCATTACTTCAGCGGTATTCGCAAGATCATCGTAATATTTGCCCTGCTCGTATCCCATCAAGTGAAAGTGTCTCTTCTGGAAGCCCTCTTTCAGTTTTCTCGCCAATTCTTCGTTTTCCTCCCGCAACATATTTGCTTTCGGGGGAAAGGCCTTCTTCCCGAACCAATACTTCAAAATGAATCGGACCTGGAGTTAAAAAATCATTGTGAAATTAGCAATGGCCGTATAAGTCCGCTGAGTCGTTGCGATTTCGATGCTTCATCATAGTAATCTAGACTAAGGAAAGTGATACAAATATGTACAGATTTTCAAGGACTAATTTACAGGAAAAAGAATAAACCGGAATTCTGTCCACCGTAAATACACCGATAAATTCTCTGCTATACCGAGCTTTAGACAATCGTGTAGATTGCAAATGCATAAGATCCGCGGTCTAACGGGATCACACGGTTGTGAACACTGTTTCATTGAAAGTATAAGTCAGTTGAATCATACTGCGTAACCGGCGCAAAATCGCATCTACCTTATATATATATATATATATATATATATATGTTTACCATCTTTCGACTCGCACCTGTAAGTCAAACATATTGAAGGCGCAAACGTAATACGGCAGACCGATCAAAACCATGCTGGTATTTTCAGTCGACACAAGATGCTTCCACAGCGGCGTGACCATGTTCGAATCCACTCGTATACCGCATTTCTCGTCCAAGAACGGAAAATTGTATTTATATCCTACGATTAAAGATTAGAATCCGTTAACCTGCACATCATTTAACAGATCAGGTTCAGGAAAACTCACCTGTACAATAGAAAACTACGTCTGCGGATTCGTTCGAGCCATCCGCGAAAATCACACCGTTTTCAATCAACTCCTTCACATCTGGTTTCTACGAAGTTCAATATAGTACCGAATTGGTAAATTGCATTTAAAGAACAGTCTTATAGACAATTTCAATTGGTACCTGAATAACATTGTCAGGAAAAACGGTGCCTATTGGGTCCCTGGAATGATGGCTCAATATAACTCGCGTCGCTTTTTTCGATATGTCCACGGCCAAGTCCATTCCTGTCGTTTCACAGCGACGAGAAATATTAATATCGACATTAAGAAGAAAGAAAAAGTCCGTGAAAGAAAAAAAAAGTGACAAGATAATTATGCGTAATGACGTACCGGAAGGCCCGGCGCCGATGACCAAAACAGTTTTATCGGCGAATACTTCGGGAGTCCTGTAATCGTGACTGTGCATTTGTCGGCCTTGGAAAATGTCCTTGCCTCTTAACTTTGGAAGACTAGGCTCGAAGTAATGACCGTTGCACACCATAACCGCGTCGAAGGACTCGTTCGTGACAGTGTTTCTCTGCAGATCTTTCACCTTGATGGACCACTTCCGGTCTCCGTTGTTCGTCGGCTCGACCAGTTCGACGTTGTGTAGAAACTGAAAGTATACCGTTGCACGTTTATTACAGAAATTAAAAAAGGAGAGATGGAGACATAATATTTCGTTTGAGAGAAGAACCGTACCCTAATATGCTGGCGCAAATTAAAATGATCGCAGTAGGATTTCAGGAAGTTCAGCATTTGCGTGCGGGTCAAGTAACTTTCCGGACTATCCGGCACAGGATAGTCGGGATACCCCATCACTTCCTTCGGCAGATTCGTTCTATACAACACAAACGATTTTATTCATAAAATAAAATAAAAGGGACTCCTAAGCAGGCAGAAATTTCTGTGATTCCAACTTGAAAATAATATTCGAACAAAATATTTCGCTTTTTCTAAAGTACAAAAGCCAGGCCCTCTCATTTTATTAAACTTTCTTGCTGTATTTCGTTTAATCCCTTAACGCCCAGTATTGCGCCTGTGCAACACTCATTTTAAAAGTGCGTCAGATTCTGTCGTCGGTCAAGTTTTGTCTGATCAAAGTGAACTGATTTATTGTGAACGATTTACCTTAAATTCTTGTACATACTGGTGTGTATCGGTAACCCGTACTTGTCCACGCCAATCTCCTCTCTGTAAACCCATGTTCCTCCAATCTGGTCTGTTTTCTCGTAGCAGATCACTTGGCAGTCGTACGCGCCGGAAGTGCAATGCCGTAGGGCCGCGAGACCAGCGGATCCAGCACCGATCACCGCGATCTTCATGATAAGTTTGAGGCTTGAAGGATAAGTTCTGTAAATCCACAAATGCAACCAGCACGATAATTCTTCCGTATTCGCTCGAAACGACACGGCTCCGGTTCAATGCACGTATGTAACAGATAACTTTGAGAAGCAAAAACACTGACAAAAGTTATTTATCACTTATTCACGTTTAAGAATGAAACACTCTAATCGCATTGGGGTAAGGCCAATGGTATTATTCGCCGTAATATCCGATGCGGTGTGAAGCTTAGTTACACACGGTTGCGTTCCAAATGGGGGGAAAGGTGTAACGAACGAAAGTCGCGTATACACGGGTACGTTTTCTTCGTTCCTTTTTTTTCACGTGATACACACTTTCCTCGTTGTTGCTTAACTATCCAGTAGCGAGCACTGAACGGCGCGGTTACATACATACATGTACATACATATATCGATACCGAACACACGAGATAAAACGTGTCGGGAATTACGTTTCCCGTTTACCGATAAGAATATTATTATTGAACGATAATACGTCGAAAAAAGCGAGACACCGACTAACGTAGCGATGAAAGAAAAATCTGGAAAAATAAGGATTTTTTTACTTACAGAATCGTAATTACAAGGGACGCGTGGAATCGTCCGTCGGTGGAGACGATGTATTGTGGTCGGAGAACGGAATAGCAAATGACCGATCGTAAAATAATCAACGTGTATAAAGTCGAAGTGTATCTCTCGAAAAGAGGCTGTCACTGATAACAAGGCCGTCGAGTGCCCCATGTGTTTACAATATATAAGGAAACCGTCCGACCACTTGTTCAGGAAGTGGTTCGCCTCTGGATGGCTGCATTAACCGTGAAGCGGTTAATGAATTTATGATTACTGTTAGACGACCCGCAGTGGGTGTATTGTTGATGATTGCAGATAAGCTGATCTAAGAAAACCGATGATTACAATAGAATCATTAAAATATCAAGTATTTACTAAACGTCTTCGACCGTATTATTGACCGTATTCTACGCATTAATTTACTGTTCAGTTTCTGGGTACGTCGATTGCTTCAATTTAAACAAATAATTTCGAAACGGATAGTGAAGACTTAAAGTATTCATAGACGATTGCATGACAAACAACTTCTTTAACATGGTCTACTATCTCCGAAGAGTGATAACTTGATACGACAAACACTTAATAGATTTATTTTACTACCTCATATAAATAATTTCTTCACGAATCATCGCTCTTACGCGAGGTGTTATGTCATGATCTTGAAAAGATTTATATATCTGGGTATAAACTAGCGAATAGTAAAAAAGAATACATGTACTATTATAACGTTTAATATTACCTCACATTAATTGTACAATTTGTATGAAATTCAAACTCTTGTCGGGTGGCTGATGAACGCGAAGCTTAGGATTTTCAATGGAGACGACATGCTTTTATAACTGGGTCACCATATTTCAGACTATTCGTATTCTGTATTTGTTGTCTAAGAAAAGGAAGCTATACTTGTAATCTATAATTAAATTGTATTTGCTGCATAATAACGAATAATTTAAACATGTTTGGTAACATAAAAATTAGAGTAGGACACATAAAATAGACAATGGCGCCCGTAGTCTCACGCGCGCCGTCCTCGAAAAGGACACCCCGTTCGGTTAACTCCATTAACTCTACCACATCCGGTTTCTAAATAAATTTTAAACAAAAGAGCCTCGTCCGACGTACGCTATTCTTTCTTCCTTACTTACTCGAATTATATTATTAGAATTTATAAATAAGATTGTTTCAAGTCTTTTAAGCGATGACTGAAAATAACACGTGTAATCATATGTCCAAGCTAATTGTTTTTTTCCTTGGAAAATCTCCTGACTTATACAATATATAAGGAATGGCAAATTGAGTACGGAAAAGTGACCATTCCATCCAAATGATCGCGATACAAGTTCATCAGGTAGTCGAGCGTTTACATGTGGGTCAACAAACTTTCAGGAGCCTCCGGAACCGGGAAATTAGGATAGCACATAATTTCCTTTGGTAGATTTGCTCTGTGTAAACAACTTCAGCGGCTATAAATAGAAGAAACCACAGTTGACTCAACTTTACGCTTGTTTAAAGGAAATTTTACCTCAAACTTTATTATACATGCTTGTGTACGTATAGGTAAATCTATATTGATCCACACCGGTCTCTTCTCTGTAAATCCATGTACCCCCTATTTAGTCTGTTTTCTCGTAACAGATCACCGCGTTTTCATAAATAGACGGTGCACAATTCTTTATAGCCGTGACATCGACCGACCTAGAATCAATCACAGCAATATTCATTCTTTTTAGACGTTTTACGAAGCTTGCGGACTTTGAAATGGAGTTTTAAATGAGTATGGAATATACGTAACGGAGTGTTTGATAATCATCTTTACGCTACCTATCACTTACAAATACTTAACGCCTACTAGTACATACTTAGAGCCTATCGCTTCTATTACCTAATCATTCAAAGAATTCATTGTTCAAAGTTATAAAATAAAATCTAGTTTTAGAAATACACACTTCCGTCTACTGTGCTATATTCCCTTGATTACAATAAAAAATGCATTTTTCATGTTACATTGTTCCAAATTATATACTCAATAGTGACTCTTATTAAATATTATACAACATAAAATGTAAATTATGCACTACGAATGATATGCAGTATTAGAAAAATGTTGACAAATAGAATAACAATAAACAGATGAGATCTGTATGAGAAAGAAGTATATTTCATAATTTTTAACACAATTTTTTACACTCTGATAACAAAATTGTTTATTTACACATTGAGGTTCGGGTAGCTGGATAGAAAATTTAATCTCATATTTCAGAGTACTGCTCAAAAATGGAAGTTGTTGAAAAATTGCACCTTGTTATAAATTGTTATAAAAATCTTAGGAAGTAGTGAATAATAAGTCTGATTAATCTTACATAACACATGTTTTTTTACTGTATATGTTTACATATATATATATATATTTATAAGATATTTTCTACGATTTTTACCTAATAAGAGTAGTCTTTACAATAAGCATTTAAGAAACACATGAAACTTTCTTATATGTACACAGTTTTAACAGATTTTTCTGCGGAGGAAAAAGATTATTTTTCATCCCATGAAAAACTATCGTTTAGAATAGATTTCAGACTCCCACTTATTCTTATACAGTACATATAGGTGCATTGCAGCTCTTGCATCTTCCACTGAGCTGTGTTCTCCTGTCTGTATTTCTATATCTAATAATTCACAAGCAAGTTTCTTTAAGCTGGGTGTGTTCCCTCTAGAGAGCTGTTTGAAGGTTTTAAACTTGGATGTATCTCTCAAATGTTTTCTTGGATGAGATAGGTATAATACATCCAAATCATGTTTCAAAGCATGACCAACCAGAATACGTCCCCTTAAGATCTCTGCTACCTCTTTTTGAACAATCTCAAATTTTTCTCCATTTTGGAGATTGTGAGGTCGGATACCACTGACTTTAGTTCTGTAATCTTGAACAGGCTCCCTTGGCTTAACATATTTATCATAAATGCAATAGCCATGTCGATTTACAATGGATACTCTGGCTATCATACTTTCAGTGCCATCTCCTATGCCTACCATTTCGCAATCCATTGCTACATGCTTTGTCAGCTTTTTCTTACTTTCATCATAAGCTTGTTCTTCATTGAAATGAGGCATAGTGTGTGGATGTATTACAAGTGTATGATGTTTTTTCCTCGAATTTTGGTGATAAGTAATTGTCTTTTTCTTAAGGTTTTCTTCGCTCGGCGTATCTGTCTCCAATGTAGATGAAGTGAACACGATACTCTTAAATATTTGCCAATTACGGCCAGAGGCGTTCCGCTCCGTATGTGGCGTAACGCGATTAGAATTCTTCTTGTTTTTCTCGTCCATGGCTCGCTTGGTAGCAGACTTCTTAGATCGACATTCTTTTTCCGTTTCGTTTTTCCTAAAATTAAAAATACCCATGGGGAAAAACATATTTAAAATTAGTAGCATACAAATTTTGTCATAGCTTTCTGTCAATCCTAACCTTTTCATTTAACACGTGTATATACGAATAGACACAAGCCTTTCGAATATTTCTACAATTTGTAACAAAAATTAAAGTGTAAACTGTCTATTGTCACATACGAATTGAAATATATTCAAGTGGATTGAAGTTATTAGTAAATTTGGTTAGATAATGCGTCAACACAAACATGGCGGCATAAATTTAAAACACGATTGTAAAATTCAATTACGAACTTCCACCATTCTTTCTTCCTGGAATGTACTGATGAAACGAAAAAAACATTACAAACTGATTATCAAGATTTGTAATTAAAATTGTTTTGCTTTCCATCCACGAGAATATTCGTAGATGTTACGAATGAGTCAAGATTGGTCAAGATACATTGAGAAAAATTCAAGTTCAGATTCGAACATGAGAGCTCAGAGTTTATAAATGGGGATTACGCAGTTTTAATGAAACGATTTTTTAAATTCTAGTCAAGTGACGTCTCGTGCACGATCAAATATTTTACAAACCTGACAAATAATATTATTGCGATCAAACACACTACGAAAATTAATGAAGCAAGCATGCTAGAATAACCAGAAATTATTCTAGAGTCTAGAATTTACGTCTGCCAAGTTTGTACTGATGAATCGCTTTTCTCAAAGCCTGCATCTTTCAACGGTTACCATTGGTTACCATCTTCTTGAGTCTTCTGAGCATAAATACCACACCTCTGTGAAGTTAGCCGGACTACTTTAACTTTTTAACTTTTCATTATATCCAATCGATTGGTGGTCGTTTGGTGGTCATTGTTGGCCTAATTAAAACATTTGGTGGTCACGCGTTCTTTTGTAATTAAGTGATCAAAATTTGACCGTGAAGTTAGCCGAAAATTTGTTTTCTTTCGCCGGAATTAGTTTTTTAGATGCTCAATCGATGCGTAATCGTTTGGTGGTCATTGGTGGCCTAATTATAACATTTGGTGGTACTTATAGTAGTTTCTATAAAAAACGATAAAAACGATGTAGTCATCTGGCGGATACAGGATACAGGTGTACGAACGCACGTTTACAGTCGATAACCACGAAATGTTTCAATTAGATTACCAATCATTAGCACACCTTTCTACAGCGATTCATTTCTCTGAAAAGACAATCTATCCAGAAATATCTGTTTTATCGACTTTAAACGTGCGTTGGTACACCTGTACCCTGATCCGCCCGATAACTACATCGTTTTTTTCGTTTTTTATAGAAACTAAGTACCACCAAATGTTTTAATTAGGCCACCAATGACCACCAATCGATTGGGTATAATGAAAAGTTAAAAAGTTAAAGTTGTCCGGCTAGCTTCACAGAGGTTTAGCCATGGTAGTCAATTTAGAGATATCCCCTTTTTGAATCATTAAAATATACTTACAAGGAAAGGAGTTTGAAAAATAAACTTTTAATAGTTTTGTCATCAATCTTATTCATATATAAAAATAGATTTTAATCATAAAAAGTGTTTCCTTTTACTGTTCTTGATTTTTTAAATTATTTGACGTCTATACACAAAGTTTTTAGTCAACAAAATGGACTATGAAAAAAAACAAACAGATTGAATATATATAGTACATAAAGTATATAAATATATATGTATATATATATATATATATATATATACACATATATGTATACATACTAATTATTTATTGAAGGTATTATACAAAACATATTACTCTTAAACAAAGATAAAAATAAATGGTTCTGCAATGTATTTTGCTCATTTCTACAGTCATTTATTACTCATTACCATGCTTTGTATAATTAATCCCACGACTTGGTGTATGATTGCTGCGTTCAAGTAATTTCTTATAGCGCTCAACTAAGTCGCTAATCGAACGTCTTTTTTGTTTCGTCTCTGTGTCCCTTTCGGTTTGTGTGATAATTTTGTCATGATTGCTTATAAATTCTGCTTTTATTGTTTCACATATATTAAAGTGACAAGGCACATTCGATTTCCCACCGAGCATGTTTACCATATCTTCCAACTCAGACACGTCTTCAGACTTATCGTATTTCGTGATAGTCAATTTTACTGGAGTAGTAAATTCCACACTGTTATCGCACAAGTTCTTTGTCGACATATTCAAACTGAGTTCAGATATATCTTGCATTTCTTCAATCATATTTGCAATTGCAGTTGAGTTTGCCTTTGAATTACAAGGTATAGACATGACACTTGTGTTTCCTGTGAAAAAAGGAAATTTTATGTTTTGTAATAAAAACTAATATCGTAATAGTTCAGTTTTTTCACAAACCTGCATTGTTGTTTCTTTTTGTACGCGTAGAAAATAATCGAGAATATTTTTCCGCTTGTTTACAAGATAACAATTTCTTTTTACTTGACATTGGACATGAGCGTAATGAAGAGTTCTCACTGTTTGTTGGTGACATTGTATCATTGAAATTGATGTGAGATCCCAATAAATTACCCCTTAACTTTGATCTATGTGTAGTATAATTCTGCTTTAAATGTTCATACCTCGAAAACAGTGGTCTATGTACAGCTAAAAAGTATTTTTAAATATAATATTACATACTTAATGTTCTGAATAGTTTCGTAAATAATATTACCTTCTACTGGAGTAAGTTGTAAGTGTTTATGTAGATCAGCTTCTATGTCTGTACAACTGGTATCAATTGTTATGATAGGTGATGACATTAAGAGTACATCATTAGTCATAGGTACTTCTGCGTCATCATAAATTTGTAAAATATTCTTTTCTTGTAATATATGACACAATGTTTGTTGTATATCTAATGTCATTGTTTTGATATCCTCTGAATGTATTTGAAACTTGTTTAAAGCTTCTGTTATATCTGTGCAACTTGCCTCTACTTGTAATTGACATTCTGAAAGATTCTCTAATGCACTCAATTTCAATTCTTGATATATCCGAGTTACTACTGAATTGAATAGTAAAATGAAATTATGTAAATCTAATTTATCATTTTTATATAATTGAAATAGAATGCTCTGAAATGCAAAATATATTTTTTTTATTGCTTTATAAATTACAAGGTGAATATCAATGAATTTTAGAAAACTACGTACATGTACATCATGGGGGATTAATTCATACAGTTCCAAATAATCTATTCTTTGAAATTGCTTAGCATCTAACATCTTTATATCATTACTATTGCTTAGTACTATGTTATTCAATTTATGACTAAGCTGTTCTGTATCTTTTAAAACTAAATTCTTTATCTGTATGTAATTCAAACCAGTGTTTAAATTATTCTTCCATACTGAAATTTATACATATATACTATATTTAAGAATGAAAATAGAAAATGCTGACTATATAAAATTTTTTAAATAGAATACTAACTTTGTATCACATCTTCATCATTTACATGAATCAAACGTTTCTTAATTGTAGAATGCACAGGAGCATCATTTGAAAAAAGTTTAATTACTTGTTCTCTTTCAAAAATTTCTGTTTTTATATTCTTTAACTTCTGTTCCTCGTTTCTGAAAAACAAAAGAACAAAGTAAAACATTTGAATTATAGCACTGCAACATAAGGAAGGTTCAGAAAACATAGACATTACTTCAAGAAAGTTTTTGCTGTTTCCACCATATCTGATAAATTTTGATGATATTTTAAGTTATTAGAATAAATTTTTGTATTTGTCTTCTGTAAGAGTTCTTTTCCTAAGTTTCCCTCGATTCCTGCTTGTGGCATGAACAGGACATTATAATTACCTAAAAGAATAAAAGTTACTTATGAGAAACTATATATCATAGCAAAATAATTTTAACAAGAAAATTCTTACTTGTAGAAGAAATATACTTTCTTAGTACTACTTGTGATAATTTCAACATAATAATTACAAATTTTTTTCCGCTAGCATGAAATAAATGAGACACAAGTATGTTTGGAAAATTAATGTCACGATTTTCAGTAGATACAGTTGTCAATAAAGTTTTAACATTATTACGATATTTTGCCTCTGTTTTTTTACAAGTCACTGGCCATTCGATTAATTTTTTAAAGCGTTCCGCATCGTATGTTGTTAATAAATAATGGGAAATGTGTAGAAAACCTGCAGTGTTAGGCTTGTCGAACATGCCCTAGAAAGGAAATAATTTATGATGAAAAATGTAAATGGACACAGAATGATATAAAAAAGTACATCAAAAATATTTAACACTTTTTTAATAAGAAAAGAATGTACCTCGCGGAAGTGTTTCTTGAATTCATCACTGGGTGGAACTTGTTGTGTCAATAAGTGTACATTATGATGGAACAATAGGCTTGTGGCCATTGTATCTAAATAAAACTGATAAAGATTCTCTATAAAATTGAGTAACTTTAATTGAAGTAATAATATATATGCGTAATTAGGTATCTTCTGTACTTCATAACAACAATGAAAGAAATGTGAAGATTACGTTAAACATTTGAATTTTAAAAGCATTTAGTTGCTACGTCATAGAAGGGAAACAAACATAAAATTTACTTCAGTTCTGCAGTGTTACAAATTCGTCCACTGATCTGTATATGTAGTATCACCGACTAGGTCCTTGCAACATCCGTAATTATTACAAATGTCAATATAACGAAATATCTTTTATGCGATGTTTGTGCTGTAATAAAAAATCTGTGTTTCGATTACGTTTTTGATACGTATTACTCACTTATATGTAATAATATAGAATAAAAATATACTATTAATCCGATATTTGAAAATATGCATGCGTTCGTTGTCACTGTTAAAATGTTGTAATAACAATGGAATAATAAAATAATTTACTCAAATGTACATAATAATACATATATATACCCATAAAAACAATATTAAACGCAATAACTTTTTTGTACGCGAAGAAAAACTAATATAGGTCCGTCGGGATCCGAATCCAAGACTCCTTTCTAATACGTCTACTTTATAGCGAGCGGACGGAAGAGAATCCGTTCACGACCATGGTCCCTTCTTAGATTAACGTAGTTCACAAATTCAGGGCAGCAGAAAATCCCTGACTTTTTACACTATCGGTATTTCAGAATATGAGACACGAAATCCCATAAGATGATAGGTCTATCCTATACCTAGTCGGTGGTAGTATGTTATACATATTTGGGAGCTCAGAAGAAGCTCTCTAGTCAAATTCGTTCGTGACTATTCGTGACAAAGAGAGTGAACGGGACACACGAGACCAAGTGAGATACAGCGTTAACAGAGTAATTCAATTCAAATTTGAGTAAATAATATTCTTGTACGCGTTATATATTATGTAAATAGAATTATTTTATAGAAAATTAATACAGCGTGATTCTTATACAAGTGAAATTTCAAAACATGTGAGAAAGCGTTATTAATATTATGATTAAAAAGTATAAACAATAAGAATAAACCGGCAGGTGTCTGTTAATTTCTCGGTCAAAGTATATACTCTTTAGAGTGAATTTAACACTTAAATTCCTTATTTATGAGCTTTTTCAATAACTGTAATCACATGTCGGAAAAACTCTTGAAATGGAAGAATCACAGAATCTTCAGATTTCATCTGATCCAGGAACAAGAGGCTTCGACTTGTCGGCTGGGAAAACATGGATATACCCAGAAAATTATCCTGTCAGAGATTATCAGTTCAATATAGTCCAAGCCTGTTTATACAGCAATACATTAGTTTGTTTACCAACTGGTAAGAATGCAAAAGTGCTGAAGTAATTGTTAAAATCTGTAACTAGCTTTTCTTGTTGATCTCTAATAGGATTGGGAAAAACATTTATTGCTGCAGTTATTATGTATAATTTTTGGAGATGGTATCCATGTGGAAAAGTTGTATTTTTGGCACCTACCAAACCTTTAGTTGCTCAACAAATTTATGCTTGCTACGATGTAATGGGCATACCTAGTACAGAGACAATTGAACTTACAGGTACAAGAGCAGTATGTTTAATTTGTACATCTTCTTTGCTTACCTTTATTACAGAAACTATGTGTTATAGGAGCAGTGAATCAGAAACAACGTGAATTAGCTTGGATAAAGAAAAGAGTAATATTTGGTACTCCTCAAATTTTTCGCAATGACTTAGAAAAGAACATTGTACCTAGTGATTTAGTAAAATGTGTAGTTATTGACGAAGCTCATAAAGCTTTGGGAAATCATTCATATTGCGAGGTACGTCTTAGTAAATAAAAGATTAATATTATTTTATAGATAATTTATTAGCAAATATTCTATTATTTGATAATGCATTGATGGTATGAAATAATTTCCTTTCATTATACCTATAGTGCATTCGAATATTAAGAGAGAAGAACCAAAATTTCAGAGTACTAGCTCTTTCAGCCACACCAGGAAATAACATTGACAGTGTTCATGAGGTATGATTGATTTACGAGAACATCTCTAAGAATTTCTAATATTCTCTATATTTTATGTATAATTTGTAAGAGCAAATAAATAATGTCACTTACAGGTGTTACAAAATCTTTGTGTAGCTCATGTAGAATTGAAAGATGAAACTTCCTCCGATATTATACCATATATTAACCAAAGAAAAATCGATATAATCTTGGTACCTCTTAACAAGAAATTAACCGAATACAAAGAAAAGTATATTTTCATTATGGATCGTCATGTTAAAGTTTTACTTCAATACAATGTTCTTAATGGACAAACAGCCAATATCTCTAAAGGAAGGGTAAATGACGATGTTATGCACAGATTTTCATTATTTATAATTATATCCTCTAACATTAGAATACTCTTTTTTTTGTTTAATAGGTATTCTATTTACTGAAAGAGTTTCAACGAAAGCCGAATAAATCAGGAAATTACGGAAAAATTATGAAAGCACTGAACATATTAATGACAATGTATCATGCTTACGAATTGATGGTCCGCGACGGGATTCGAGCGTTTCATAAATTCTATCAAAGTAAGCGGATGTGCACATTTTAAGACACAATAAAGTTTTGTAACTTCAGCGTCTAGTGTTTTCTATAAATTTTTTATCAACAGATCATTCTGATAAATTTTGGATGAATGAGGAGACACAACTGCAGGAATTACTTGAAGATATTCAAGCATACCTTGGTCCGTTCCCGGATGTAAAAAACTTAAACAATGAACTTATTATGGATGTTTGTAGATGTTAATATATCTAAAGTATGGAGTATTCAAAATACTATTGCGTGTAATACGAAAATTGTTTTCAGATTCCGGAAAATCTTGTGTTCGGCCATACGAAATTTCAAAAGCTGAAACAACTGCTTGAGCATCATTTTAAGAAAGATCGAGATGAACGGAGCGATACCAGAGCAATTGTTTTTGTTGAGGTTTGTAATTTAAAAACCTTTAGAGGCTTGAAGAGGTTTTTTTGAAATTGTAATTGCCATTATTAATATACGTATTATGTAGTATAGAGATATTGTGAGTGAGATTTATGTCTTATTGCTACAATGCCGGCCATTAATTAGACCTCAAATGTTCGTCGGCCAAGCTGGACAAAAACAAAGGCAGCAAATAAAAGCTTTAGATGATTTTCGAAATAATCGCGTTAACGTTCTTATATCTACAAGTATAGGTATGAACCGTAATATCCTAGTAATTATTCGAACTAATTGAAATAGCGATAGCAATACATTAAGAATAATAACAATATTGTCTTACATGCTTTTTAATGTAGGAGAAGAAGGACTAGACGTTGGAGAAGTTGATCTAATAATATGTTTCGACATATCCCAACAGTCGCCTACGCGACTCGTACAAAGAATGGGAAGGACGGGTCGAAAACGCGACGGACACATAACTATTCTTGTTGCGGATGCAAGAGAACACGAGGTAGTTCCATAATAAATGTTTGAAAATGTATAAAATTTGTACAACACACTTCATGAAACAGTCTCAATGATAGTAATTGATGAAAATTGCAGACATTGAAATCAACGATAGCTAAAAGAGATTTTCTAAATAATAAGGTATTAAATATGAGTAACATTTCTTCTTCTCTTTATCAAAATAATCCGCGTATGATCCCTGATACTATTACCCCGGAATGTTTGAAAATGCATATCAATGTGCAACCAAGGAGTAAAACTACAAAAGGAACAGACAAAAATAAAAAGTCACCTACGAAAATGTGTAAACGTAAAAATACTCTAAAAAAATCTACGAATACAGGTAATAAAATACGTTCGATTGGTATTATTTACTCTGTATTCTTACATATACGGGAGTTAATGTGAATGTAAAACTGTGTGGGTGTTTTAGAGTCTCATGGGGAATCACAGAAGGATGGGACTAAATTCTTAATGACGACATTTTTGAAAAGCAGAAAACGTGAAACACCAAATGTGAAGCAGATTGAAAATAGTGACGTTCGTCAAACGATAAAGTCGTTTGATGTAAAGGTTCTATCTTCCGATAGTGATGCGCTCGACTTTCTTACGATGTGCGCGTTGAGAAATTCGCAGAGGGAAACGTGTACCGAGGAAAATGAAAACATAAACAAATGTTATCTACCTGAATTCTCTACGATAAAAGGGTTTTTTAATTTTTCGATACCACACTTAGAAATTTTAGACGGTTTGGTCACATTGAATGATATTCGAAGAAATTGTAAAAGAAACTATATTGTTGAGAATAACATCAGTGATGGAAACGATTCGTGTAATGATAATAATGGATCTGAACATGTGAACAGTACCAATGAGATGGCGCACAACGTGTATGCCACGGGAGAATCGAAGTTCGAAGATTTGCTCGACGACAGCAGCAAATCAGACGAAAGCGACGTATTGAATACAAAGGTAGAAAAAGAAGAAAACAAAAACGATAATGTACGTTCCGTTTGCGTGTTTTCGAGTCCGTCCGAACAATACGCCGTAGGTAGCGATATACCAAAGGTAATTATCAATGATACAGACGTTTCGCAGGATTTTGATTCCGGTAGATTCGAAGATATATTAAACGAGACATCTGATGAATTTGAATGTAATGTTGAAACCGTAAAAGGTGTCGCAGGCACACTTGGGAAATATATCGATGCCCGCAATAGTGAAGACGTTCAAAAGTCTGGTCGGAATTTGAAAGTGGAAGATATCGAATTACACAGTACAGACTTACACGAGGCGGTAAAAATCGATAGTAGCATTATTCTAGATATTCGAAGCGAACGTACTGTTAAGAACTACGAGCAAAGAAATGAGGGCGATGTTAGTTCGAACGTGTGCAAAGGGACGAAAGGCCGAACAATGCTTAGTGTAACGCAAGCAGTAGAAGAAATAGCGCGAATTAATTCATATCCAAACACCCAACGAGTGATTGTAGAATCCGAGGATGACATGTTTCAAGATGAAAGCTTCGCAGACATAATCGATAATAAGACAAAGTTTGATCGGAAAATAGAATGTTCGATGGAAACACGCGTGTCGACTGCCGCGGGAAAACTTTGCGATGACGCGAAAAACACGATCGTTGAGGAGTTTAAAGTCGAAGAATACGAATGGGATGACGATTTTGGAGTTTGTGTCGATTCCAGGCAAGATCGCATCACGTTGAACACACCAGAAGAAAAGAAAAACGGATTGAAAGAAGTCGAATGTAACGTTGAGACATGTATTTCGGATAACGAAGATTGGATTTCGGTTAAAAAATCGTTCAATTTGTCGAAAAGGAATACCTCTTCTATCAGTATCGTGAAAAAAGTGGCAAGCATAAAGAAATGTTTGAACTCGAAGCGCGAACATCTTAATAGATTAACCGGAGATACAGCTAGTGTTGGAAATCGTTCGTTTTGCAATGAGGACAGAATTGTGGGTTCCAAAACCAGTTACTTTTTGAACGAGTCAGAAGAAAATGTTGGAAAAGGAATTGATTGTTTAAAGGTACCTTGTATTAAGAATAGTAATCGTGCTCGCAGGTCAAAGAAGGTAAGAAATAAATTTATAGATGACGAAGCGAAAGTTTCATCGATCAGCGAGACCACTGCTACAGATGAAAGTTCCGGAACTGATGAAGACCTCGTAGATTTTGTAAGCTACACGCAGAACGTGCATGATACCTCCGATATGCATGCACACTATTTACAAACGATTAGAAGTCCAGTCAAAAGACACGATGGATTTCATTTAAAGAGGCCACGCGACCGCAATACCAGTATAGAAATATACTCTCAACCGGTAACGCAAGTTAACGAAACCTATATCAATGTAAGTAAACCGATTGCAGAAGACCAGTATGTATAAGCTTGTAAGCTCGTAACTCTTAGATAAGTTTCTGGTTTGATGCATTTGTAGGATTCGTTTTGTGTGGCGGAAGACGAGGAAGGAGATGAAGAATCGGGAACTAACGAGTCATTGACCCGAAGTGAGGATTTGTCTGAACTGGAAATGGCAGAGCGAGAATTAATAAAGAAAAAAAGGAAACGCGCTCGGGGCGAAGAATTAGAAGACAACGCGATAAAAAGAAGAAAGCGGAATAAAAGGAGAAATCGAATAAACTACTCCAGCAGCAGCAGCGAAGATGAACTTGCGAAACTGCGCGAACAAATTAAACACGAGTAATTTTTGCTGGCGCACTCCAGTTGCGAAGATAAGCTTTGACGCATTTTGACAGGTGCGTGTACATAATATATCGGTATATTTTTGTACTGTTCACCGTGTGAACGTAGAACGATAACCGCAGAGTTTAGAAACACGATAAGGAGACGAAACTTTCGTTAGGATGACAGATTCTTTTGCTGCAGGAGAACGCCCCTTAGATTGAACCGAAAGTTCCAAGTAATGTTACAGGTATAACGTAATCCATAAATCGGCGAAATGCTTTATGTGAAAAGTATGTATATACCTGCTTGAACAGTTATATACGATTTATGTTCCTCTGAGAAATCGTTAGATTTCGAACGGTTTTAGAGGTTCCAGAACGGTAACTCGGATGGATAAGGTTATGATATTTATGTATTGCATATGCATAATTAATAAAAAATACTGTGTATTAGTATGGTTTTATATAAAAAATAACGTTAATTATAATACTGAGCACAAAACTCTGCTATTGAAAATAGGACTCCCGAATCCTCCATGAACGGTGTTGCCACGTTGTTCAGCACTGCTAGTATTGGAGTCGGCTGTGGCGTCGGCATTCAAATATGTTCTTACTGGTATCGCCACAAAGATAAGACAGAATCGGTAGCGGTGTTTCTTTTTGACCGTGAATCACGGTTGATGGTGCCTTCCTCCTCGATCCATTTTGCCGCACATACTTAGTCCACCCTCCTGCCCTGTCCCGCTCCTCTTCGGATAGATGCGTGATGCGTGACCTTTGCACGAAGTGAAAAATGAATAAAAGAACAAACGGAAGGAAGGACGGACAGATAGACAGACAGACAAGCCAACCGACCGGTTCTTACTTTGGTGAGGTCAGAGACGACTTTACAATTTTGTCACGGCGCTTTGTCGAATCGGTTGTATCGTTTCAAGATCAAGTACTCGTAAAACGTGCATTTACGCGACCGCTTGAACAACGAATCAGTGCAACAATGAAGTACCTCGATGTACTGGGTAAGAAATCTTTTCCACTGGCATACAAACTATAAGCATCACTTTGCGTTTCGATTGCCATTAACTTCGCCTTTAAATATCTATAGTTGCAACGGTCCTGGTAGCAACGACGGTACAATTGATAATTGCCCGCGCGCGGGCTGTGCTCGTTCAAAACTTACTTGTCGATGAAAACGATCCAACAGAATACGCTTATTCATTTCAGGCTATGTGTACGTAGCGATCGTGTACATCCTGACGCTCACGACTGAACGATGCAGCTCCGAGATGACTAAGGTCTTAAACAATTCAAACACGACTAAAGACATAGTGCCTGAGATCGTGAACCGCAACGAGGATAATGAGGATTTTGTGCCCTATCGAGGAGAGTCTTTCAGCACTTTTGACTGGATGTTGTTTAGAGTAACGATCCAAAACTTTTGAATAACATTCTCTTTGTACCACGTATTCCTGTGACTTTCTTTTCGCCTCATCGTAGACTATGAGCAAAAAACATCCCGGGAATCTCGTTTTATCTCCGATATCTTTGAAAATCGCTTTGGTGCTGTTATACGAAGGAGCGCAAGGTGAATCCGAGTACGAGCTTGCCAGCACGATGCAGTTACCAGTTACTCGGCCAGCTACAAGAGACAGATTCACCACTATTTTACGATCGCTTCAGGTAAGAAATGCTCGCGAACATTAGCTCTTTTCCTCCTTGGAAATGAATCTTCCTAATAATCGTTTTACAGACCCGTTCACCAGCATACACTTTGAATATTGGAACTCGAATTTACATCGACTCGAACATATTAGTTAGACAACTATATCAGGCGATCGTGAAACAGTTTTATGCTACCGACGTGATCACGACGAATTTATCCGAGACGCGTCCGCTCATCGAAAACATTAATGGCTGGGTCAGTAACATCACCGATGGCAATATCGATAAAATGATAGAGAACGGTAAGTAAGACAGACTGTGAACTGATCGCATCGCGTCGACGAATAAGATATTTGAATCGCTATACATTCCTTTAATTATTCTTTTCTTTTTTCTTTCAGAAAGCGGTGTTAAGGATTCCTTGATGATAATCACGAATGCGGTATTCTTCAAAGGATCATGGCGCCGAAAATACTTTTCACCGAAAAATACCCAAACAGGGTCCTTTTACACAAATTTGAATCGGACAGTTCAAGTTCCGTTTATGCAAACCACTGACCGCTTCTACTTTTCCGAATCTACCGAACTGGATGCAAAAATTCTACGGATACCTTACGACGTAAGGGAAACGATAATAACAAATGTGCGCGGTCCGTTTGGAAGCGTGTTCTAGCTTATTTTGTTCTATTTCATCATATTTTAGGGAGACAAGTTCGCCATGTACTTTATATTGCCGCGAACTCGAACCGGAATCGAACAACTCGCCAACGAAATTAATCCGTCCGTGTTGATGCGACACGGATGGCAGTTGGAGGAACTGGAGGTGGACGTTAGCATTCCGAAATTTAAATTCGAGTATTCCAGCCACATGGAATCCGTGCTTCGCGAGGTATGCTAATTTACACTTTTATACAATCCGTCCCGATAAAACACACAATCGCTAATTCCTGCGGTCTTCGTTCGTTCGTTTACTTGATCAGCTTGGTATTCGTGATATTTTCGACGATACGGCCACTCTGACGCGTATAGCCTTCACCAAACGTACTTCGAGGCGTTTAAAGGTATCGGACATCTTACAAAAAGTTGGAATAGAGGTAAACGAAAATGGAACTATGGCATATGCGGCCACCGGTAAGTTTTTCAGTTTACCCTCTTTCTGTGCTGTCTACGCTAATCTCATAATTTTCATCGTGATTCTTTCCAGAGGTGCATCTCGGAAATAAAATACAGGATAAAACATTCTACGCGACTCATCCGTTCTTATTTTACATCGAAGACGAATTAACAGGAACGATTCTATACATGGGTAAAATAACGAATCCCATCGACACGTCCGAAAATCAGATTAACGAAGGACCAGACTTAGGGTCGAAATCTGAAACGGGAATACCAAACGCAGGTTAATCTTTTTCTCTCGACATATCAATGTATCGATAAACTCATCACATGTTTGCTAGTGAAGGGGTTAAATAATAAAACGCTCGCTCTCACTTAATTATTCTTTACTTATCGTCTTCAACTATTTACGCTTCTATTTTTCACTGAATGATACTATTTTGCTATCTTTAGCTAGACTTGAATTTTACGCAATCATTTTTATTCTTTCTCTGACTTTCGCTTGGATTATCAATCTGAACGTTAACAACTTTAATATGATAGAAGGAGTTGGTAAATGGTTCAACTAATTGTAAGAAAGTAATATCAACGTATAGTCCCAAAAACGATTAAATTCCTGTAATCCCTACATACATATATGTATGTATGTATGTACTTCTCAGAGCATTCGTCGTCTCCTCATATCCGCTATCTATCAACATATAGGTAGAATCGATTTACATATCTCTGTACATATAAGTATGTACACATACACGTTCATGTGCTTTTGTATACAGAACATATTAATTAACTTAAAGGCGTTAATTCTTCGAATACCCTTTCTCCTTTTTAACGATTAGACGCAATCACAGGTATCGCTTGGTTTCTATTTCTTTCGGAACAATATGAAAAGGAAAAGTAAGTTGTGATTCTTCGCAATAAATAAAATTAAAAAATCAACACCAGATAGTAATGTAAACATATTTCTAGACTCCGGTTTGCAAGTTGGTTTGAATGCCGATGATCGGGATAATCTCTTCAGTACACACTTTTCACAGGTAAAAAGACGGACGAGTCTTTATAGTTTTCTTTAGAGAAACTGTCTGTGAATATAAGGGAAATGGTGTACCGAATAAATTAGTATTGTATACGATTTCCTTGCAGACCTTAAACAACGATCACAATGGAAATTTAATATCGTCGCCCGCAAGTGTTAAAGCGGCTTTGACGTTACTAGCCGAAGCAGCGAACGGGGATACTAAAACCGAACTTATGTCGGTTTTGAGATTGCCTGATCATGAATCCCGTGTAAGGGAAGTAACGCAACGTGCTTTGACATCTTTGAAGGTACGCCAAAAAAGATCCGGAAATCTGATTGTGAATTTTAGATTCATACATAGATCCATAGATACAAAGGAGGGTAATCTTACTTATTTTCAGAGAAACGATAACGGTACGGAAATTGATCTATCGATCTGCCTCTGGACAGATAAGAATTTGAATATATTAGATCGTTATGAACAAGTTTTACGATTGTATTACAAAGCAATTATAAAAAGCGTGAACTTCGTGGATTCGAAAAATACCGCACGCGTCATAAACGACTGGGTTCGCCAAGCAGCGCGCGACCAAATTTCTTCACCTTTGGTAACTCACATCCGACCCGATACGCGTTTATTGTTGACTTCGGTAATATACTTTAAAGGAAGCTGGTTGAAGGCCTTTGACAAGGCAAAAACGAGACTAGAATGTTTCTACGTTCTGAACGGTGAATGCAGAAATACTTCTTTCATGACACACACGTCAACGTACCGATACGCGTACATACCCGCGATAGAGGCGGAAATTTTAGACATTCCATACTCGGTATGATGAATATTTTCAGTGGAATTATCACGACATCGAAATATAACTCCGTCGTAATGTATACGTACCATTTGTAGAATGGCAGAACTTCTATGCTAACAATAATACCAAGTAAAAGGGAAAGAGATCCGTACCTGCGAATATTGTCCAGAGATTTGGCTACCGTTCCTGTTTCCGCGATAATAGCCAGTTTAAAGGAAACACGCATTACCATTCATCTTCCGAAATTTAGTATCGAAAACAGTCTTGATCTAGTACCTACGCTACAACATGTAAGTATAGTTACTTTAAATTTTAGTAAAAAATTACGGTATGAATATACACGAGTGCCACGACACATTATTACCGTCTTGAAACGAATAGTACTTTCTTTCAGTTGGGTATCGAAAGTATATTTAGAGATACCACCAACTTAACAGAAGTCATATCCAGAAGTGCTGCTCTACAAGTAACAAGTATATTACAAAATGTTAGAATAAAAGTTGATGAAGACGGAACATTAGCTGCAGCTGATACAGGTACCTTAGAGAAAATTTCTTTTATTAAACCCCCCTGCCATTATGAATCTGTGCGTTGTGCATTTCATTGAAATTTATACTTATAGAAATTGGGTTTGTACCCCTTTCATCATGGGATAACGACATCAAGTTGGACAGACCATTTTTGTTTTTGATAGTTGATTCTGTAACGAACACAATGTTATTTTCTGGTCGTTTTATGGAACCGTTTTAAAAACACATGGTTACATTACTCAATTATTCATGTACATGCCTCAATGTTTACTCTTTACTACTTACAAAATATTCATTTTTAAGTATATAGTCCTTGCGGAGATATAGTATGATTGTAAAATGACTCGAGCGGTAAACATATTTCAGGTTTCGCGACATGTAAATTCACAGAAATGTGAGGAGATAACGATCTTTCAAGTACAAAAAATCCTCGTTCAGTGTTCGAAGGCTCCTCGGGTGCTGAGTGTTCAGGTTCAGACGTCATCCCCACCACTGGGACGGGGGTTGTGGACTAGTCAAGCGCATACTTTGTTGCCCCCCCCCCCCCCCCCATTCCAACTGCTTTGTTTGCCGAGATTCGAATATTCATAAAAGGCGAAACCGAGCCCCGAACACTCAAACGAGGATTCTCTGTATATAGATATATATATTACACAATATATTTGAACAAAAAATCCAAATATTAACTACAAATATCCTAAATAGTAATTAATTTTTGCAGTTTTTCTACTTGTAAATGAATTACCATTAGTCATAAATCATTATTTTTTCATTGTGTGAAACCTTACAATAGAATGTAGGATACAGGCCCAACTGGCATGGCATCAGTTGGTGCCACCATTCAATGTGGTAATTTACGATCACCTTATATCTCTACAAGAACTATAACAACAGTCGACTTAATAACAATTCCGTAATAAATAAAACAATCGTGCATTCAACAGACTTCTTTATTTGTGTAACCACAGATATATAACATACCTATTTAATACACATTATATACAAATGTATATCTAATGATTTATATTGTTTCCCTAGTTTTCATATTTGCTTTTAATATCTTTCCATAGTCTCTGAAACAAAAATTAGAAGAAAGCTGAGATTAAATAGATTTCTTATACCTTCCTAAAATGCCTGGCATCCCTATTATGCAATACTTTCTACTTTCCTTACAATGTTATATTTCACTGTGTACAAAACTATTAAACTTTTTTGATATGCGATTGAGTGATTTAACAAAGTAATTAGTGAATTTGAGCTACTGATAACATTTACTGTGCGTAGCAGAAGAATCGCATAAACATGAACGCGTGGTATCTTAATGAGATGTATCGATTTATAATATGAATTTTAACATATAAATAATGTTTATACATACGCCTTTGTTAACACTATCAAAGATATTATTAGAAATCACATCTAATCCTCGCTCAAATATGAAACTGCCTACCAAAATGGTTAAGGCAAAAGTAGAACTTCTTTTAAACAGGACATTGTAGATAGGCTTTACTATTCCAGACATTGTTCTGACAAATTATTTCACGTAGCAGACGTTAGTTACAGAATCTGAATCGCTTGCACGTTTATCAAGCGTAAGCAATCGTGATTTCCACTCCCAACTATTTAGACAATGCTCTAGCAGCTCTAGTTGGCTCTAGGTAATTCCAGTACACCTCGTACCCATAGTAGATATATATAATAGCCATAGACATGTATAATAGATTGCGCGGTCTTACGGTAGGGATGAAGTCGGCATTAGAAAGAGTGGACAGTAACTGGAGTAACTTTCCTCTCTCTCTCTTTAACGGGGCTGTTGGTGAGGGATTCTCCTACAGCTGGTGGATGCATTACACGCGTGCAGTATTCTTTCTCATCGCCCTCCAGTAGAGATGGCGTGAACTGCTACTTGTGAATCAGTCGTGATTCGATCACGTTCGTTCCCAATCACGATGATTTTTCACAGTGATTCGTGATTTCCCGTGATCGTTTCTTATTGGTGGAGAAACCTAACAGTTCTTTACACGCGATACATAATTTGTATATTTCACATTAACGACATCAAAACAAAAATTAGGGTTATATCGTATAAAGTGAAGGAATAAGTAGAAACAATGAAGAATAACGAATAAATTAATGATTACAAATTATAATCTACATGTTACCCAGCAAATCATTTTTTTAGAATTTCTTGTTTTTTCTACTGATGTTTACAAACACGAATAGTAATGTAATTATCGTAAAATCATATTGAATACGTTTTTCTGTTTAAAGATCAAGGACTTACGATCGCAGTGAGCAAATTCACCCAAGATAGAAAAATCGCAATCACGGTTGTGAATGAAGTTAAATCACGACCATCTCTACCCTCCAGTCGCTTTCATCCCTCCTTCTGCGATGTGCGTGCAAGAGAGGAATGACTCCATCGCTACTTCTGTCCTTCGGTCTCGCTTCATCCCTACCATAAAACCCGCGCAGTTTATTGTATATGCTATGCCGCGACTGAACTCATGAACATAGGAATTAGAAGACGGAACGCAAGGTCCCGTTCTTAGGTCCATGACTGTCGAAAGACTGTAGTGCCTTCGTTTCGTGGCAAAGTTTGAAAGTACACTTTGTTTCTTTAAGGGATCACTCCCACCACAGGAGTTTCCGAACCTGTGTATACGACCGTGCGTAAGAGTAAGGACGTACTATTCTTGGTAAATATAATTCAAGTATTGAAATAATATTAAAATGAATGTTAATTTGGCATAAATTTCAATAATTCCCAATTCAAGAGTAGGAGCATAGTAGGAGGTCCTTCCCCTACGACACTTTTTCCCCTAGCGGAAGCCGAGTTTGCTCGCAGGTGCATATTGTGGAGCATGTAGAGACACAGAAGTAGAAGCTACCGACATCTGAGAATGTATGTTAGAAATGTGTTAAATTCAAATTTTAAATTATACATACCTACATTTGGAACATGACGGAACGACACTGACGAGACGCATGTCATAAGAACGTTACTCGATTTCGAGTAATCGGCAGCTTCTCTCAACAGCGAGTAACTGTGATCGATGTGTGTCATTCTTGACAGCTTGTCGTTCGCTCGGAAATTCTCTCTCTTGTAAATTTGTCGTACTATGAAACGTGTTAAAAAATTGTTGGTATGAATTCGTTATGTCAAGAAGCATGTAGAACGAAGAAAACGAAGTATCTTTGGATTCCAGTGTCCCAGAAACATCTACGAAAGTGGCAGTACCTACTGAAAAGCATAACCTGAAAGTTAGACGACGAAATGTAATCGAAACAGTGAACTTCGTACAGAAAGAAAATAAAAACTCGGGTTCCAAAAGTAACGTGCCTCTTGTAAGAATGACTGACTCAACAAGGGCATGGTATGATAACGTTATACCACGAATACCTGATATCGCGGACATTAGTTTGTCAGGTAAACAAAACGGAGTGTTAAGTCACATAGACGATAGGGGTTTATTAAAAGGTGATTCTGGTGATACAGACACACTCACAAATAGAGAACTAATGAAGATAAGCGTTATTCGTGGAAGCGTCATCAACCCTAATTTGACGTTAGGGGAACTGAGACTACTGGGTTGCAGTAGCGAGGGTCTAGTTAATGGTATTTTATTAATACGATTATATATTATTGTCAACAAGGAACCTCTATTTAAACTATAATTTTCATTGTCAATGTTTATCTTATAGTTTGCTTAATCGAATGTGTAATAGGTTCCTTATTGAATATAATCATATATTTTTTAATCATGTCTTAAAATCATAAAGATGATCTGTAGATGATATAAGAAGGATATTGTGGCCAAAGCTTTTGAGAATATCAGAAGAAAATAGTTTTCCTGCAAATGGATTAGAAACAATACAGGATCATATACCAAATGAAGTGTATCAACAAATACTAAAGGATGTTGCACGTAGTGGCAGCCACATTTCCCAAAATGCCACGCATCGTGAAATAGACTGCTTTCACAAACAATTAACGCAATTAATGTGCTGGGTTCTACACAAGCATACTACACTAAAGTCAGTATTACTTATTCGTTCATTGTACCAGAAAGCATTTAACTTTTTAATGCTGTCTGGTTACGTGTATAAGAAGCATTATCTCCAGGTACATAAATAATACAAAATATAATAATACAAACTTAGTTACTACCAGGGATATAACGACATAGCCGCAACTGTTTTATTAGTGATGGGTTTAGAAAAGGCATTGAACATACTTGAAAGTATATCGTTAGAATTTCTGGAAAGATTTATGGAAAGAACAATGGAAAAAGTAAATCAAGAATTATTCTATATATTTGCCCTTTTGGAAAGAATACATCCCACTTTATTGGAACACTTGGAAAAGTTAGTATAATGGTGATGCTAGATTCCTTAAATATTACTGACTTAGAACACTTTTGTAGTTACTAAATCTGTTTTATACTGTAGTGTAGAATTATTTCCGCACTTTGCATTGGCCGAATATACAACATGGTACGCACACAAGTATGCAGAAAATAGGAAATTATTACACAGGCTATTTGACTACTTTCTCGGCAGTCCTCCATTGATGCCACTTTATTTAAGTACTGTGATCGTAGCACATAGGGCAACGGAAATTTTTAATACTACTCCTGATATGGGACATACGCATCAAGTATTATGCACTGTGAGTATTGATTCGCTTTAGTCATACAAATACAATTGCATTTTATAGCATACAGTTCACAAAAAAAAATTATATTTATAGTTGCCAGACGATTTACCGTTTGAAACGCTCTTAATCGAGGCAAAAAATTTATATCATCAATATCCACCTGAATCTATAAGTAATGATGTTATAGAATATGACAAAAAGAGAAAATGCAAGGAACAAGAATGGAAGGCAAAAGCGGAAGAGAGTCGTCAAGAAAGAGAAAAACAACGTCAACTTAGAATTGTGAAATCCACGCCACGAATACCGTATCGTATTAGAAATTATAAAACTATCACAGTGGTAACAATATTGGCTATAGGATTGTATGCTTTTTTAAAATCTTCTTCTGGCCTTAATTGACATTAAATGAAACTGTCTTATTCAAAAAATAGAGTATGCGCATTTTTTAAACAAAATTTTAGTGTATTCATCTACCATTAATAAGGTAAATGATAACAAGAAATGTCCATCGCTCGGATCTAATGGAAATATCTAGTACTATGAGGTACACATGATAAAAAACCATTATACGGTTTGCTTGTCCATAACTCATTGAACTTGTTTCTTAATTTGAAATAAGAAGTATATCTAGCATTCCTGTGCTGTCTGTATGCTGTATTTCAAACCACAACATAACTTGTGTACTCTCGTCAAGAGTAGAACTAAAAATGTATACTTGGAGAGTGCAATATACTTATGGGAAATGAATACTCTTGAAATAAGTATATTTTGAGATATAAAACAAAAATTTATAACACAATAGATGTATTTGTGGGTTAGATTGTAGAATGTTTTCATAATCTATGATGCAATTTTGAGTGCATTCGTTTAAATTTCTACTACAGCAGCAAGACAAATATTATTAATAAAAATACTTACTTTTTCAATTATAGTTATTTCTCTATATGTCTTTAATTATATTTTTCACAACATAATTTTAATTAAAATCTTATTATTACAAACATATTGTTAGGAATTGAGTCGTGTCTTTTACCCTCGGAAGACGGACGTCAAGTCAGTTTTGACCTATAGCAAACTTTCTCGTGTATCTGTTGCAAAACAAATTTTTACATGAAAATGTGTGTCATTTGTTTCTTCATTACCTTTTTTCAAAAATAGTAATAATATGTAATAATTTAAGGGAAAGAAAAATATATTTATAAATTATAAGTGAAGAATATTTATTCTTGCAGTTCTGTACAATTAATAGATAAAAGGTTTTTCTGCGTGATTGCATGAACTGAATTCCTTTAAAATTGCTTGAAATGTGTCTTTCCTCGTCGCTGATGTACTGAATACTGCCTACAAAGTGTTTTCTTTGGACGCATGCGAATTGCCTTGTCACTAAGCACAGAAAAGTAGGGAAGCTCAAGTTACAGGACTCCTTGAGCCATACGATTTAAACGAGTGACCTGGCGTCCGCCAGCGCAGGGTTAAATGACATTCTTTGTAGACAATGTTTGAATAAAATTTAAAAAGAGCTTTGAAATATAAGAGAAACACATTGGCGAAACCTAAGTAGATTACCGGCATTACCATGAAGAATAAAAGTAATTTTCTTTTATTCTTAAATCATTTATCAGAGTTCATCTTAACAACACTGAATAGATCTTGTATACGAATTCACGAAAGAAAATAAACAGGAATAAATACAAAAGAAACAGTAATTAAATTCACTATCTACAACTTCTCATTCTAAATTTGTTGAAAATGTGACATCGAAGCAATATTGTAAGCTGTTTACATTAGATTTTATGTAAGACAAAACACTGTACATATATACATAGAGTTGGAAAAATTAAGTCATTTCAATTTGAGAATTAAAGTACATATAGGTAATACTTAAAGACACATTTCTCCGTATAATGCTCTCATACTTTCAAAACAGTTTCAATGTAAGTTAAAACATTAGTATTTCTAAGAATGTCCATATGATTTACACCAGAAAAGGCTTGAGAATAAATTTTGTGCTTTTGTTTACCTTGCCAGTGTTTGCAAGCTTCCAAACTTCTTATATTCACAGTACCATCACCATCTCCAGGAATTAATTGAGGAGTACCTTCTATTGACACACCAGGCTTATAATATAATCTGCAAATAGTTTACATTCGTACATTACAATAAAACTGATTATTTCAAATTGGCACATTTTAATACAAGTTTGTACCTTTCCACTGTATCTATTCCACTTCCGTATAAACAATGTACTTCAACTCCTGGAGGAGTAAAATTTAATTGATATTTTTCGTTATCTTTTCGAAATTCCCATCCATTTGGAACGTTTATGTCTCTGTAAAATATACAGAGTTGTTATTATTGTTATTTATGCTATCGTAATAGAATTACAGATTATATGCATCATACGTTACATTAAATAATCTCGTAAAGTGGACAGTGTATAGTTTTTCTGCTCCGATTGCACCAATATTTCTGTTTCTTTCCAAAATAATCTCGATGGTAACAACCATCCTAAACTAGGACTAGTTATCTGTTCATCTTTGAGAATATTTTGACGAAGAAGATATGCACCTAAATCGTCCCCTATAATAGCCAGTAATTAAAGAGAAACTTTAATGTAAACAGTGTACATGTATATGCATGAGTATTCTTTACCAATAGCAAAAACTTTAAGAGCCTTAACACTGCCACCCCAAACAGCTGAAAGAGTGATCAAGGAACTGATGTATGTATCTTTCCATTTCTGATTTTGACGTTGTAAGAATATTAGTGTCATTGGTCCACCCATACTGTGTGCTATCAATGTTACGGGAGTCTGCTTATTTGTATAATATGTTTCCTCAACTAATTCCTTTAATTTATTGAAAAATTCTTCATTTTCATCTAAAAAGAAGGATTCTTAAATAACACTGTATATTGTGACCACAATTTTAACAAAAGTTTCTTCAAGTATACATACTGGGTGCTTTCCTAAAATCATAAGGTGCACCTCGTATAGAATGATTCCTAATGTATCCAAGCTGAGTAAGCAACATGTTACCAATGTCTTTGAAGTAAACTCCAGGAGAAGCTTTACTTGGATCCAAATATTCAACAACTAATGGATCACCCCAGCCTGGTATACGTATATCAACACCATCTTGATTTCTTGTTGTTCTTGTTACATTGTCATAAATCAATTTCATGTTATCAATCTAAAATCACAATTCTGTTATAAGTCAACGAAAGCAAAATTATTGAAAGTATAAGAGATACAACATTTACCCAACAGTCTATAATAATTGGCACAAGTAATTCCAGATTCAACCAAATATTAAAATATTCAGTGGAAATCTTTTCACATAAATAATGTACTACTGTTGTCTTATTGAGTTTTGCTTCGACCTGACTGCCACCATCGCCTGGAACTTTTTAATATAACAATCATTTTAGTCTTTAACACCATTAGCTGTAAAATATCATATGTTAACAAAAAATGATTACCAAATATAACTGGGGATATTTGTGTATTTCTTAAATGCCACAATTCCACTGGTGGAACCCAATACGAAGAAATAATTAAACAAATAAACAAATTCAAGTGCATGGTACTTTAAACGATTCTAGAAATCAGACTTTGAATCTCATTGAAAATATAAAGCCTAATTCACACTTTACAAATAATCTGACAATTTAGGATAAATTTTTATGTGATCGTGAGCACACGTGATTAACAAATCGAAAACGTTGCGTCAAATATTTATTTTTCTGACCTTTGTAGTGCGCAATCAGTTGATGACGCACCCATACGAACGAGAATTGTCAGGACCAGTCAGGACTGCTCACCATTGTAAAGTAAATGATCAACTGATATTTTTAATTAACGAGCTATTTAATGATAGGCTTGTCAAATTGTTGATAAATAATGTCTTATAGTGTCCTCTGATAATCATTAAGATAATGCAGAACAAACAAAGAAAAATATAACAAAACCAAGATTTCCCTACCATTTTCATAAAAACGGTCTTTTCATATACTTACATATATTATGATATAATTAAATCACTATGTACTTACAATACGTAATTACTGTTAATTATAATTCTTATTATAAGGAAACATTCATTTTTAATTTGCTGCACTGAATGAATTGTTTTGTTAAATATATATAAAATTATTTCTATGTATGTACACAACATTGGAAAAATGGACACTCCTTTTATATACTTATGTAAATATATGAATACATATGTTTCTGAAGATTTCCTCATTAAATTAATCACAACTAAGATTACTATTTAAGGTTGTTATTGTATATCTTTTACCTAATGTAATACTCTACTCGGGTGATGTTTATTATGAATGAATATATATACATATGTATATATATATACATAGTACACCTATGTACATTGTACATACATATATATATAATCTTTTGAGATTGTGGAAAGTGTTTTTACGTGAAAACTAAGAGGAATTAAGTAATATTTAAAGAAAATTAAAATATTACTGTATGTACTGATTTAAATGTGTAAACAATATGTAGAGGTCAATGTATAACTATTTATATATATATATATGTAAGTAGGCTATAAATAAACAGTGTGATTAACCTAAAAGTTTCACATCTTTGTTATTCTATGGACTATTTCTTATATATTTAGTCAACAAACGTACAAAAAACTAAGTTTGTAAAAGATGTTGATGTAAAGTGGAATTTAAAATTTAGAATTGAAAAATGCCAACAGTGATAGCATTAGATGTGTCTTTGTCAATGAGACGTCCAATATTAGGAAGTGGATCATGTGAAAATAATCAAAATGAACAGTTAACAAGGCATCATCTAGCCATACATGGAATAAGTGCATTGTTACATTATTTACAAGTAAATTCAAAGTTGGAATTTGTATCTCTTGTAAGTACATACATGTTAGAATAATTATTACTTTGCTATTAGTTTTAGTTCATTGTAACGTTTTGTATCTTTCCTAGGTGGTGTTTTCTTCTTTGTATGAAGTTATTTGTCCCTTTACTCGGGATTATGATAGTATACGTTCAAAATTACAAAATATAGAAGAATGCGATAAGACTTGTATAGAAACTGCTCTCCATGGTGTTAATAATGTTATTATGGCAGAATGGGGTAATACTACAGCTTGCCAAGTAGTTTTAATCACAGATGGTAATCCTGGAGTAGGTCCTATGTCTTTAGGTGATTCTTTGAATTCCTTAAATATAACAAGGGATGTAAATCCGTTTCCATTGCCATTTCCATATCCAGGAAAGTTAAGTATTGTATGCATTGCACCACAACAAGGTATGTGTATATGAGGGTTCAGGTATGTGAGGGTTTAGAACAGTCAATCAGTGTGTCACTGTTTCGTTAAAATTAATTTATGTCGTGTAAATATACTTTCATTGTTTATTTTATACAGAACCAGTTTCATATGTATGTATCCTGTACATATGAATCATTTTGTATTTATTAATAGCATATATTGCTTTCTACAGTTCATTTTGTAAATCATTATCTCTGCTAACTTGCTTTGTGACTTACACTGATTGGCTTCTGAATTTACACATGGCTAGATGGTGGTTTACATATAGGTTTACCGCTTTACCAACGATTGGTGGAATTGGCTGGTGGTGATAGTGTAGTGCTTGTCCCTGAATCGCCACTTTCGAAGCATTCAGTTACAGCCTGTTTCCAGAAATTAGCAGAAACTAATTATATCTCTTTTCAAGGATATCTAAAATGTGGGAACCTAGGTTCCTGCATTTTTTTATCACCAGCGCCTATGGTAAGCAAAAAAATATCGAAGAAACAAATATATATCAGTGTAAACTTGGTACAGTATATGTATGGATATGTGTATCTTATTTATTTTAGCCTTATACTAAGAAGACAGATTTTGAATTAGTATCTGGTTTGATAATATCGAAAACCATAGAAATCTGTGGTTTTATATCTGTAGCAGATGTTGGAAGTCCCAGTGCCATATCTAGGCACTTAGTTTTGCCATTAGCCACAGACAAGAGTCCAAGTATACAAGGCATATCTTTGGAAGAAGAGTCAGATACGGACGAGAACGGAGACGAAGGAAAAATACCATCGTTTTGCGTATTACTACATGGGGCTTTGAAGGTAGCATTTTGAGAAATTCAATTTTCGTATTTTAATTATCACACACATGGTCTATATATAAGACTAATAAATGCATTGATTGCAGGTTGAAAATATGGTGGCACTCTGTTTATTAAATAATGAGTGGTACGGTTTTATATACTCATGGGCGGACACAAAGAAAAAATCGAACTTAATGTTAACAGTATTAGAACCAGGTCTAGATGTTGTTCCCTGGTTAGGTAGTTTTAATAATTTAGGACCAGTTGATGCAGTCAAAGGTACTGCTGTCAATTTTCCAGTCAGACCAACTGAAAAAAGAAGTTACACGCAAAATGCACCTTCTTGGATTCGCCAAGTTGGATTGCAATCTGATATTCAGAAAATTTTAAGACATGCCAGAAAATTACCTGAGAAGACACAGAACTTTTATAAGGTAAGATTGCAATCCGTAAAAACACAAATATCATTGACTTTTGATACTTTAATTTTGATACAGGAAGTTAATCGATTGCGCAGAGCTGCTGCATCCATGGGATTTGTGGAACTTTTAGAAGGATTGGCATGTATCTTGGAAAGAGAATGTACATTATTACCTCCCAATTTAAATCCTGACTGTACAATTCAGATGGGCCATGTAGCTTCTATGATAAGAAAACCTGAATTTCTTGAGCTTAGATATAATATACCACCTGCACGTACAAGATTCCAACATGGAGGATCATAGATAAGGCAATAACAGCATTTTTGATAGTCATTGGTTTTTATTGCAAATACATTTAACATGCTGTTTTTAAAAGAACTATTGTAATTTAAATATTACAAACACTGTTCCTTGGTAATTTTTAATTATTCATCTCTTATATTTTTAATCATATAACATAAAATACAATATAAACCTTTTGCAGTTTGAATGCTTGAATATTTATTAAAATCAGGGACATGTACAAACAGTGTTTTCATAGGTCTGATTTGCAAAGATTTATAAAATATATATTCACACAGATACTTGCCTGCATTGTACGAAATGCAAGCATTACAATCGGTTTCCCTTGAACTTTCATTAACTACATCACACACTTCACTGACATTGATAGTAGTATTTAAAATCTGGGGTATAACAGCATACTCATCTGGACATTTATTATGTATATCTGGTTTAATGTAACCATTATTATGAGCACAACATTCTATGGTTAAACATTCTGCTTTACTAGATACACCTACATGCAGAATTACCTGGAAAAAAGAATTGTTTACGTTTCAAATAACACGACAGTTTTACTATAAGTAAAATATTACCATCGGATTGTACTTCTTCAGAAGTTTAGGTACATAACTAGATACATCATCGTAGGACACAGGAATCTCTTTGGTGATTACTTTGACACCTTTTAGTTCTTCCGAATCGACAGATAATTTACTTAGTTCTTTTACCGCTTCCCAACTTGCGTTAATAACGTGACCAGTAAACGGGCCGAATCCAGTTATTAAAGCCGAGTACTTATAGTCCGACTCCATTATGTACTACGTTTTGTGCACATATATTGCTCTTTGAAAAAAACCTTACATCATTCTTTTTTTTTTAATGACGTTGCTTATCGGAGTTCATCGTTAGTCAAGTTTCATATAAGGTGATTTCTATTGGTGTCGTTCGAAACATTCGTGGCGCTATTTACAACAAAACGCCCAAGCAACTACCACAGTCGGTGGTACTATAGTATGTAGAATCCTAATAATAGTTGTCAAAGATTTACAGAATAAGGAAAGGAATCTAAGAACGTGGGGTCACAGAACCCCCGCCGGTGGCGCCAGGGACCGTGTGGTGAGATCGTGGGGTCACAGAACCCCCGCAGGTGGCGCCCGTGTGGTGAGACCGTGGGGTCACAGAGCCCCGCAAGTGGCGCCAGGACCCCGTGTGGTGAGACACGGAGTCATAAAACCCCCGGTGGAGGCGCCAGGGACCCCGTGTCTGTGAGGAAGTGGGATCATAGAACCCCCGGAGCATGCGCAAGAGTTTTGAAACGTGATTCTTGCGTTCTAACGTTGCTCGTGCAACTTTCAAAATCTGACTGATACTTGTGCGTGCTTCCGTGAGTAAATTATATAGTAACCCCAACGATGACAGGTTCTGCAGATACTACTACAGCCCAAGTTTAAAAGACGTAAGCAGTAGTTAGTTTCTGTAGTAACCTGTTGAACCATACAACTATAATTAGTATAGGATTGTACAATATTTATGTAGTTATATTTAAGACAATTCGATGAAATGAAGCTTATATTACCTGACGTATGTTTATTGGAATATACATATATACATATAAATTATAATGATATAAAAGTTTGAAATATAATACGATGCGCTGCGGTACAATACGTCTATTCGATTCAATTGCTCCCTTGCGACTACAACATCATGCTATCCGCGTTC